GGGGGGGGGCATGCAGAGGGTCTTGTGTCTATCCAGTCTTTTTTTCCCCTTGGCCAGGAAGTGTTTTCTGGCCTGTTTTGAACGGCATCTGAACATCTTGCTGATGAGACCTAACCTGAAATCTATCCTATTCTAGCTACTTTCTAGTAGCTGTCAAGGGTGTCCGCAAGCTAGACGAGAATAAACCAAATACAAATCAGACTAGTCTGCCCGGAGACATTTTCGTACAAGTTAAGGATAGCTACCCGATCTATTCTGCCACTGACAAGCGATACAGGGCGAGAAACTAACCTACACAAACTGTTAATAATGCCGTTTCCTTCAACAATGGGCTCTTGCTATCACTTTGAACATTACAACAGATAAAAGTGCGTTAGGATTTTTCGTTATTTTATCCACGTTACACTGCACTACACCTTCTTAGCGAAATAATGAACTTGGATACAGCAGTTGAAGCACGGGATAAAAATAGGCTCTCACACAATGCACACGTTATCATTATCAGTAAAGCCCAGGCCACATACGGTGCAACGACGTTTTTCCTGCAACAACATCGTCGTACGTTCAATTTTTTAAAAATTGCACCCGTTTCTTCTCAAATCTACATGTACACCGCAACACAATCATTATATTGCGAAAAAAATCCTTATCATATCCAGAACTGTACTTATCCAGTTCTATGCTTGGATAGCTTAGAGTTAGGATTAAGCATGGTTCTGAATAGTCTCTGGGTATCAAAAAACAAACAGTTATCCCAGATATGGTTCTGGATACGCATGGACAATCCAGAATCGCGTGCTCGATAATGTTGCTGGATATTGCACGGTTCTGGATGCAACAATCCTCAATCGTAGGTTATCCCAGATATGGTTCTGGATACCCGTGGACAATCCAGAATCGCGTGCACGAGCATGGTGTTGGATGCAGCACGGTTCTGGATGCAACAATTCTCCATCGTAGGTGCACCGTACGTTGTGTGAAAGAAAGGCTACAAAGGATCCCGCTGTGAGCTATTATAGCCTGGGGATATCAGTACTATTGATTCCGACAGATATGGTCTGTGCAGGCGCGAAGATTTGCAGCGGTCCTGACAACTCGTATTGACTCAGCAGCGTTTTATATCACATGTGGCCTCTTCAAGCCTGCTGATCCTTTCTAGGAAGGCGAGTGAAATATCACGTATTTACGTGATGTGATAGGAGACGTATTTTACATTGTCAACAGATGAAAAAGGCTAGCTATGGATTCGCTATCTTAAACGAATATTTCTTAAACATCATGCATGTGTAAAATACTACCAAGGGGGCAGCAAATACTCCTTCAGTTGACTAACTCCCCCGGCATGTTATCTATTTAGACAATGCCTACTCTTTCAAGCCTCTCATGAAGCCTGGTAGAGGCTAAAGCAAAAATACCATCTGTCAAATTTCCTTCAAAAATTTTCCCGCCAGTAAAGAATTGCCTTTCTGATTGTCGTAATGTTACGCAATGCAGGTATAAATTCAAAAGAATGACATAAAGACTTACTTAACAAACATGGCCATCCTATCATTGTCTATTTAGACAATATCTGCTCTTTCAAGTCGTAGGCTAAAACAAAAATACCATATCAAACTGCCTTCCAAATGTTCCCACAGGTAAAGAAATTTCGGAAGATGCAGATTTAAATCTAAAAGGATGACAGAAAGACTTACTTCACAAACATGATCATCCCGGCCTTGTCTATGTTCCTGGCCACGGTTTTCCACGACTTCTCCAGGTAGAATTTCTGCCAGGGATCGAGCGGGAGTCTGGGGTCGGGCGGGAGCGGCGCCTCGGGTTCGGGGAGAGAGTCTCTCTTCAGGTCCGCGAACTTGACCGACGCCGAGCATCCCATGGTATGCCGGGAAGGACAACACGTCATCACTGCAGGCCGTTCGAATTCTGTTCGACCTGCTGGCCGCTCAACCCGAGATCGTCATGACGTCAATGGCGCGAGATGGTCGTCTGTTCGAATCGTTGCATGTAACGTTACACGGCTGTGTGAAGCTAGAACATTAGCATTAAGGGTAATCTCCAAGCAGATCTGTGGGTGACTGCAAGATAGCATCAAATTGGCAAGACAGTATTCTTGTCAGGGCAGTAACCAATACGACATCAGTTTGGCTGGCGAAAAAAAAGATACCAGTACAAAAAAGACAGCCCGATACAAACGCCTGACTGAAAAGATAATCTAACGGCACCCCATTATCAAGTTGCTAGATGGCGCCATTGAGCAATGTAATGTAGAAACTAACATACACCAATGTTAGTGCTACGCAAATACAGATCTTTTGATAACAAAATATTTTCCTAAAGCAATACATATCTACAGAAATTATTGACTCCAAAATATGGTTCCCAACAAGAAATATGTTTGTGCTTGTTTTTGCAGCGCGCGATACGTTGCACCGACCAGTGTCAACCCATGATGTGACTTCTTTGTTTGTTTAGGGGATACAATGTAGCCCGTGTTCTTTCACACCAATGAATATTTGGCGTCACCGTTCCAAAACACCTAATAAATACTTAACACTTTACCACAGCGGCCATGACGTAGAGACCACTACTAAGCACCCCCAATGGATGTTAGTAGTGGTCTCATCATTCCAGCCCTCAGGTGAATAACTAAATACTAACAAAAAAGCGAAATAACCCTATCTTGAACTTTTTCCACAGTTCATCTCGTCCCCACTGAGTGTGTAGAGAATGTTCATTGAACCATCAGGATAGCAAACCTGCCACGAAAGTAAGAGTGATATTTCACAACACGAACCCTTTTAAAATGGTCTGTGGGTTTAGTGTCACGTAGAGGTATTGTATTACTGGTCTTTTCATAGGTGTCGGTTACGTCACGTAGCACCTGATTGAAGGTGAGAAACTAAGATACCAGCAAAAAGATTATAAATCTATCTCTGTGGCATTTCTGTGTAAAATCCGCGTACTCATTACATGTGAGAACATGTACAATGGCAGTGCCTGTGAAGTCCGCAAGGCGATTAATGTGCCAACAATAGTGTACAGAAACTGAATCGCAGTACAAACAACTTGCTTTTGTGTTGCTTCTGGCTCACCACCCAACAGAAAAATTAAGGTTCTAACAGTGTCCCATTTGTCTATACTTCATACTTGTTCCCAAACAGCGAAAAGGAAAAATATCGTAAAGAATTTTTGAAGTATAACGTCCGTTCCCAGGTAAGTTTTAAACTTTGTCATAGGAACTACTTATTACGTGTGCGGATGTATATTACGTACTGGCGGTGAACTTACCACTTACCTGGCCAGGTGGGAGGGAAGGTCAGCGTCTCGCTCAGGTGTGTGTCTATCATGTGGTTTAACAGGTAGTCCATGGAGAATCAGAGAGGCAATTTTTCTTCTTAAATCATTCGCTAGATAGGTTAAAACCTCGTAGTCTTGTTAGCGGGTCCATTTTAGTCCGCCCAAAGGATTTCGGGAGTGTCTTCAGTCCGCGGCAAAGAAGGTAATGATTCGTCCAACTTCAACAAGTGTCCCCATGACTGCTTAAGTTATGCAGTGACATTTTCATACTTGCTATGCCTCTATTTTACAAGTACAGGGATAATTAATGTTGATCTGAGGACCAAAAACATTCCGAAACCATGTTTATGGATGTTCTTTGTCAAACCTAGATAGATATTAGGTTGAAAGTTGCCTTTTTTTTCTGTTCGTAACAGTGTTTTCTAAACCCGGATCGAAGTAACGTTTTGATATCTGAGTCCCGCTCTCCCTGACGGGGCACTTAGCACCATGTGAGGAAAATTGCAACAAGTTATGCTCTTCTGTCCACTTTAGGTTCTCTGATCTATTCAATGTTCCAGCCCAAATTGCAAGGCGATTTGAAGAAGACTGACTGATTTGCAAAGGCAGTGCTGCGCGCACTTGGGATCACATTTGGAACATCTATGAACCTGTCACCATGGCAAACAAACAAGGTTAGTTTTTGGCGACGTCTCAGGGAGGAACCTAATGATACAGTATTGTGTGCAGTTTGCAAAAATTCTAGGAATGGTACAGGCATGTTGTCCACAGGAATGGAATGTCCACAGACATTTCTCTGACCCACATCTATGCCCACATTCCTGGAAACCCTTGGGAAGACCCAGAAGACCTGTCTGCCACGAATGGCCCTACTTTGTTTGACCTCGGGGCTCCTTTTACTATACATGTACACTCGGGGGAGGAGTGCACTGTATCTGTCTTCCTCAAAATCATTAAATGATGGCAGTGCCAATGCAAACAATAACCCTAACATCAACCACCGTCGCCATGGCAATGTATGTTTTCATTGCTAGTCTTGTTGTTCCTACATTGGTTTCGGACCATTGTAAGGAAGCGTCACAAACGATTTTATGAACAAAAACCAGTTTGGATGATATAGAAAACAATGTCCCAATTCAGTGTCATATATTGTCCATCCTGGCAGTCATGAGTAATCATCAAGCAGATGTTGAGGTGGCACAAAAGACAGTATCAAATTGGCCAGGCAGTATCCATTAGCTTACAGTCTTGACTCCATGTTGCAACCTATTTTGATGGTGGGGGTGTGTGTCATTGTTAAGATAACCAATTTGTTACCTTCATTGAGAAGGTTATGCGTTAGGTACACCATACATGTATATAGGGGTTGGTGATTTTTTTAAAGTAATAACTTGCAGTGTACATGGATATTTGGTAGGTAGGTTGGGGTTGGGACAACAAAGGTCATTGTATATTATAGACATTCTAGCAGCTTGGTATGGTACTGCAGCAGTGTACATGGGGGTGATATCTCGTGTTGTGGTCATGATATGGTTGTGATTTTTTGAGTGGGACAGAGGTGTCTGTGTAATGGGTACCTGGCATAGTTTTGTATGTGAGAGTAAATTTGTTGTTGACAAAGTATACTTAACTGAGTGTATATCTTCCTATTTGGTAGGTAGGTTAGGGCTGGGACAACAAAGGTCAAGGACTAGTATATTATAGACATACTAGCAGCTTTGTATGGTACTGCAGCAGTGTGCATGGGTGTGATATCTCGTGTTGTGGTGACCTGGTCCAGTACAAAGGACAGGTCACCAAAGAAGGAAACTGATGGTAACTACATGTGCATGGTAAATTTCACAGCAATAAGAATTATCATGATGATGATACAATAAAAATAATTATTACAAAACAGTTTTTTAATGCATTTCAGGTCTTGGTCCTGATGATCCTGGCAAAGCTATGGAGAACTTCATCATTGACAATTATGTTATTTTAACAAATAGACTAGAGGTAGAAAAGGTACTCCCGTACCTTATTCAATGGCGCATCTTGTCAATTGATGAAAGGGAAAGAATCCAAAACAAAGAAACGGAGAAAGACAAAGTAGAAGAGCTTTTGGGAACACTAAGTCGTAGTGGAAAATGCGCACCAGAACAACTGATAAACATTCTACAGAGGACAGACCAGTTGACTCTAGTTGATAACGTTAAGTCTGTAGATAGAGAGAGGTGGGTTCGTCCTTATGTGGAGAGGCTAACAAGTTTAAATGTTCTCCCTGCCAAGCTGCAACTTGAGTATGTCCAAAAGGGAAAGGAGAAGCTTTTGCAAAAGGCTGATGAGCTTTTTGACCACAGAACATACAGAGACAAGAAACGCTTAAAGACAGCAGAGAGACAATTCAGTCATTACAAAGCAATAATTGAATCAATCATAGATGGGTGTTTCATTCTCAACTTGAGGTTCCTTCAGCCATGTGATGTTGATGATTTTTACCATGACCACTTCCGTGTGGGTCCCGGCAGCATATCTGCTGCCCTGTCAGATATCCTGATCACAGATGAGATGCGCGCTGTGGTTGGTGGAGAGGAGTTGATGGTGAGGCTGGAGGTCAGGTATGACGACTACATCAGGGTCCGCAGATGCCTTTGTACTACAGGTACATATATATTATATATATCCATTCTGTCTCACTAACTTAACATACACTATATAGATTACAAGCTGAAATGTTAACAGTTTGACCACCCATTCAAATGCTGGACAATATAACATGGGTAGAGTATTGAGTTCTGAAAGGTTGTGACCTACTTGTGGAATCTTTGGTATTATGTCCATTGGCTACTTTAACAGTTTATGTAAGAATCATTGACGTGAGACATCTGAAACTATTTTATCATTTGATGGTATTAGTATATGTCAATGCTTTTCTACAATCTAGGATATACAAGTGGCAAAATTCTAATTTAAAAGTACTAACCCTCCCCCTCTATATTTTGTTAAACCCTTAATAATGTCAATATATATCATAATATTATATTACTAAATGTATTTGTACTGTATATTAGGGCTGCAAAGAACAGCTTCACTGGACAACCTGTCAGCGATTCTCCCTCCTTCCAAGAAGACAAACAGTCGTCCTCTCCTGAACAGTCTGGACCTGGCCACTGCCAGAACACAGGACTCAAGCTTCACTCACTGGGTCAACAACCCTTACAGCAGGCAACTGGGGCATTTGGTGAGGAAAAAGACAGTGGTAGATGCACGGAAAGTTTTTGAGAGAAAACATGAGATAGCTAAGCACCAAATTGAGTTGCAGGAAGGCATGGTGAGAAGTCTCCAGAAAGAAGTCACCCGGCTCACACAGGAGCAGGAGACAGCTGAGAAACTTCTCCTGGACAACAAGAAGGAAATACAGGACCTAACGGGAGCCAACAAGGGCATGAAAGACACCATAGATGAACTGCTTGCTGACAAGACAAAACTGACCAACAAACTGGCAATGAAGGAAGATGAAGAAAAGTTAAAAGAAGACAAGGTGGAGAGTCTTCAAAGGGAAGTCACCCGGCTCACACAGGAGAAGGAGGCAGCACAGAAACTTCTCCTGGTCAACAAGAAGGAAATTGAGGACCCAACAGGAGCCAACAAGGGCATGAAAGACACCATAGATGAACTGCTTGCTGAAAAGACAAAACTGACTAACAAACTGGCAATGAAGGAAGATGAAGAAAAGTTAAAAGGAGACAAGGTGGAGAGTCTTCAGAAGGAAGTCCTCCCATTCACACAGGAGAGGGAGGCAGCACAGAAAGAGCTCTCTGACAGGAGGAAGGAAATTCAGGACTTAACAGGAGACAAGAAGGACACCATGGAAGACACCATAGAAGAACGGGAAAAACCTCCAAAACTGACTATGAAAAAAACGGCAATGAAGGAACATGAAGAAAAGTTGAAAGGTGACAAGGTGGAGAGACCTCAGGGGGAAGCCACCAGGCTCACACATCAAAAGGAGATGGCATCACATGGTGATGGTGTGTGGATCTTTGTGGATGACTCTAACACTTGGATTGAGGCAAAGAAACTAGCCGGAAGACTGAGGAACCTAAAGACGACAGAGGACCCCCGTGTCAGGATCGATATTGAGAAGCTTGGAAATGTACTGGCTGCTGGGCGTCCTGTCATAAAGGGCACATTGTACAGTTCAGAGCCTCCACCAATTGACACAGTCTGGTATAAGATAAGAATGCAAGGATGGGAGGTCATTAATCAAAAGAGAAGCATGATAACAGGAAAAGAGAAGGACCACCGGCTTGTTGCAGATGTCGTGCAACTGGTGCATAACAAGGAGAATCTTCAGTTTGGTAACACAGTCATCATCGTCACTGGAGACTCTGATGTGATGCCAGCCATAGAATCAGCATTAAAGCTGCCACCATGGAAGGTAGAAGTGAGGATGTGGGAAAGTGGATTGGCAAGAGACATTGTTAAGGCTAGCAAAACCTACCCAGACCGTATGGCTGTAAGCACACTTGATAGTGACATTGACAAGATTGCATTCATCAACTATCGTTTTAACTCGAAGAAGAGCACTAAGCATCTACTGCTCCAGAACGCTGTTGTGCTGGTCAATCCAGAAAAGGCACTAGATATACAGCAGTGGAGGAATAAAATGGATGAGGAATGTGGCTATCCCTTCCAGTACTTCAATGCATCATATCCTGATAATGTTGATCTACATGTAGTAGTAGTGGTCTTTTTTATGTTGGAGGCAAATGGGCTAGCAGACATGCTGGCCAAGATCAGGAGTAACTCTGCTCTGAAGTTGAATTCTAGTGCAATCCTGACCTACTTCGAGATGGTCAACAGCAAGCAGGGCTACCCAAAACTCATCAGCATGGAGACTAGATATGACAGACTATCTGATACTTCTGGTCAACTGTCAAAGTCAGATGAAGAGGAGGCTGCATCTGGATCAGATGACTGGAGAAACCTAGAGTTTAAAGAACAGGAAGATGATACAGAGGAAGTGTTTCAAATAGTGAGGCCAAAGAAAACCAAACCAAAGCAACTCTACTCTGACCAATGTCCTTATAGATATAACTGCAAATATGGCCGTGACTGCCGCTATGCACACTCTGATGCTGAAAAACAGTTCTTCAGCAAGCGTGATCGAGAACAGAGCAAAGAGGAGCGGACTAGATATGCTCAAGGTTATAAGACAATTGTGTGCAACCACTATGCCTTGGCCCGCATGTGCCGTTATGGAGACATGTGCCGCTTTGCACACGGAGAAGAAGATGCTGTCTGTTCGTATTGTAACGACAGGGGACACTTCACTGAAAACTGTCCCCAAAGTAGGCTCTATCCTTGAGAAGGCCACTATCTATCCTGTCTAACAAACATGGACAATGCAAATCAAATTCATATTGAGTGCCAATACTCAAAGACAGATCTAGTCTACCTTTACTACTAGTAGTCATCTGATTGACTAAGTATACAATTCTGCAACAATGATGAAGATACAGTCATTCATTGTGCAATCGGGACACTCCTGAAACAGCTTTCTCTGATAAATGGTTCACTACAAACATCATTCATTATTAGTCTATAAATAGAAACATCATGTACTATGTACTTTCAAGACAATCACTTTTAGATTTACTTGCATTAAAGGGTGGAAGCAATTGAATGTAGCAAAAATAAGAATTCACTTAAGATTTTACCAAACAAAAGGCAATTCTAAAACTGCCATTTCCTGCTTATAAGTTATATTCCAACCCCCCTTATGTGCAGCATAGATTTTTTTTACTTTTTACCCATAGCACATACACATCTATGGCTAAGGTACAAATTAGCTACTCCACTGCTTGAAATACATCAAAGGTTTGATGACACTTGTATCATTCACTATCAAGCACATACTGTACATTACATTACCACACTAATGTAATGGCACCAAAACTGCAGTCTTTTGCCTATAGGCCAGATACCCCAAGTTGTTCCCCCATCTCTTCATGCACACCACTGACTTTTAACAACAGAAAAAACACCAAAAAAGACTATAGAAGGTTTTGTACCGGTATATGCTGTATTCAAGCTTGAATACAGTGTATATTACTATCAACAAGTTACATTAGGTCTTTGAGTTCATGTTGACCTACAGCACATAGGGATAAATTACAAAAGCTACCCTACTGTCATAAATGCATCAAAGGACTTTGCTTCAATTGCTGACATTTGTATTTGTGAGGTAAAAAAGCTACCCCATTGTTAAACATGCATCAAAGCTTGCTTCATTAATTTTGCTGATCACATTTGTATCAAGCACACTATTACTACAGTGACTGTATCATTATAAATACACGTATTACCACACAAAAGGCACCAGAACTGCTGTCCTCTGCCTATAGGCCAGATATGCTGGGTTATTTCCCCATCTCTTCATGCCTAGTTCATCTAACAGGGGAACACCACTGACTTTTAACAACAGGAAGGCAACAAACATGGGGAAAAAAAATACACCAAAAAAGACTATAGAAATTTTTGTACCGGTATATGCTGAAATTTGTATTTGTGTCTGAGGTAAAAACACTACCCCATTATTATACATGCATCAAAGCTTGCTTCATTTGCCGATCACAAATTATGTATCAAGCACACTATTACTATAGTGACTGTATCATTATAAATACATGTATTACCACACAAAAGGCACCAGAACTGCTGTCCTCTGCCTATAGGCCAGATATGTTGGGTTGTTCCCCCATCTCTTCATGCCCAGTTCATCTAACAGGGGAACACCACTGACTTTTAACAACAGGAAGGCAACAAACATGGGAGACACCAGACTGATGTGTTCCCAGCCTGACATGACCCCGGCTGCTGTGATGTACAGACCCAGCCACAGACTGATCTCTCCAAGGTAGTTTGGGTGCTGGCTGATACTCCACAGTCCGGACTGGATAAACTTTCCTGTACAGTAAAAAAGACCAAGCTATTTCAAAACAATTACAAGAGTTCCACGATCTCATACCTTCGCCAAATGATGTTAACCCTTGCGATTATACAATTTTAATCATTGATTTTGTAAATAACAGCCTCATTTGCATGGATTATATCAGTTGATCATATTCTCCACCCAATGGCAGCCCTATTTTAACAAAAAGGCTATTATAGCTCTTCCTCATAAATTATGCAGATGAGGTCATGATTTGAATAAATTATGTTTATTGATGTTCACCTTCACTTAACTTCCAAATGTGGCAAGTATGAAATTCCTAGCAGTTACAAGTATGAAATTATAAACATTTGCCATTAATTATGCAAATTAGGTCCTCATTTACATAATCTATATCCTCAGATGTTTTTCTCGTTCTCAAGTAGATGTCACAAGTGTTTCATAGTTCTATTATCGAACAAAGTAGATTTATAGAATTTCCTCATTAATTATGCGAATTAGCTCCTGATTTGCATAATTGTCATCTGATTATGTCAAGCATCACTTCAACTACCTACATACCAAAAATCACGACAATCCGTCAACCAGTTCTTGAGTTATTATCCTTCGAAAATTTTTCAACAAAGGCGCCTGCAGTTCTAGAACAAGCAGCTAGGGGACCCAAACTCATGTCACTTCTTCCCTATGCCAAGAGCTATCTGCCATTCAAAATTCGTGACCCTAGCATGTCCAGATCAGGATTTAGCAAAACCGGAAGTTCTGCTGCAGTACCTAGGAAAGCCGCCAGGAGGCCCAAAATCTAACTAGAAAGGCCAATATTTGCTTTGGAGCAAATACAGCGATGGGTTCACCACATTTTACCACATGGCAGGGAAAGAATGAGAAACACAAGGGAAAACAATGATTTACATTGATATAACATACAACTAAAACAACAGTTGGATAGCTATTCCCTACTTTATTGGTTAGGATTTTTAATTGCATAATGCAAACTGTTGATTTTCAAAATAAAAAAAAGTTCATGCCCCGCATTCCAATGCTGGGGCAGAAAAGCTTGAAATACCTACCAAAACACTTGAATAAAGACATACTGTCAGTATGGAAATGCTCTGTGCAGGTGTTAATCAAGTTAAATCCCAACAGCCAATCAGCAAGAAATGCTCTGAGCAGGTGGAAATGCTCTGTGCAGGTGTTAATCAAGTTAAATCCCAACAGCCAATCAGCAAGAAGTATAGAGGAAAGCTGCATGCCTATTGGTTGATGCCCTGCATTCCATTGTGATGACTCATGCCCAGACGTGGTAAACACGGCACACTAACACAGTAATACATTTGCTATAACACAGCCAAAAAACTCAAATAAAACCATTCTAAAAGCCTGTATCACAAAAATTTAAAAAACGCCTAGGGGTATTTGCCCACTGTACCTCCATACCAAATTTCAGGACCTTAGGCTCTAAAATGAAGAAGCTGAATCCATTTAAAAAATGGCAGGAGAAGAAGGAGGAGAAGGAGGAGAAGAAACATCAGAAAAAGCAATATGGGTTCACCACCACTTCGTGGTGTGGTGAACCCATAATCATTTCTAGGTCTCATGAAGACCTACCCACCTACCAAGTTTCATTCCAATCCATCCACTGCTTCTTGAGTTATCTTGCTAAACCACACACACACAAACACACACACACACAGTGACACACACAGACAAACGCTACTGAAAACATAACCTTCTTGGCGAAGGTAATAACACATCAATGTTTGGGCTACATTACACTAGCAGGACTAAACAGTGAATTATGAACAAACCATTTCCTGTGAAATAAAAAAGAAGACAATTTCAACCCTACATCTGTCAAAAGTTTATCATAACACCCTGCAGTGTTCTGTTTGGAATTTTTTTTTACACTGGAATGACTGAACAGTAAATGTGAAACAAATGGTGCACGCAAGAAAGAGTAAATTGTTATACTGTACACTTATATAATTATACTGCAAATTTATATTATATATATATATACTTACATTTATACTGAGGACTCTTCCTGGAAGTCTTAAGTAACAATCTCAGCCAAAACAGAAAAACTTGATTAAGGTACATTTGTATAATAATCAAAATTACTGAATTTGAAAATTGACAATGTGTTTCTGAAATTTTAGGTAGTGCAGGCTGTGTACCACCAATATACCATTGCTCTGGGAGAGTCCTAAGTTTGAATATAATACTAACATTGTTACAATGGTTAAACCAGAGATATTGGCAATGTCTGACCTGAGTTTTCAGGATCTGCCTTGAAGACAGACTTCTGATAGTCAGCCACAGCCTCCAGCAGGAGTCCTACAGTCCAGATGGTCCAGCCTAGGTAGTCCTGCAGGGTCAGTCATGCAAGTTATTAAGTTTTCTTCTGTTGAATATAGTTCAAACATTCATCAGTGTAGGAATCATTAGGATGGATATAGTAGTACATAATTTGACCAATAGTTTACAATTGGCATTAAAACAAACAAACAAACAAACCCCATATGTGGAGACACCATAACATACTTTTGGAACAAAATGAACACAGGTTAACATATATGCTGACCCTTCAGTGTAGGAATGACATTTCCTGCAATTAATTTGCATCAGGTGAGGGTTATAGCCCCATATAGAAAGTCTTCAAATACTAGTACATCTGATTCAGTTTAAAAATCAATTAAGAATCTAAATTTGACCTTAAATTACAGTCAAGTGTGTTTGTTACCACATATGAATACTAGTATCTTAGATTAGCTTTCCCATTGATCCAGTCTGTAGTTGCCACCTCTCTGCAACAATTGTTTACTGAGTGGTCACTGCAAACAGGTTTATATTTGACAGTAATATCTACACCACCTGAAAGCCCAGACTCCTGTCCCTAGTTTTGGCATTCAGGATAAGTGTTGGCAGGAGGGTGATGAACACCCACACGGCCTGGAGGGTCCAGAACACCAGGAAATGGACAGGGTTTCTCTTCGCTTCATCAAACCTGACATCTTTCCCATCCCTCATCACTCGCAGGAACAGGTAGGAGCCCAGACGTACTGCCCAGATCAGCACTAGGGTCGTCTGGACCTAGAGAATGTAAAATGAAGATACAGGGATATCAAAATGATGTAGTACCACAGTGTATACATGTACTAGTACATGTAGCTACCATGTATAGTACTCTCATTCTCTCATCACTCACAGGAACAGGTAGACTAGGGTAGTCTGAACCTGGATGGGGTTATAGATAGAGAGAGATACAGGGATATCATAATGCTATAGTACAGCAACAGGGTACTACAGCAATATATAAGCTTACTGTTCATAGTACACAACCACTGTACACAACCCTGTATAACAGACAGGCCCAGATAGAAGGCTCTGATCAGCATTTAACTTCAAAGAGTGGAGTGCACCTAGAGAGGCTTAAAAGGTAATGCGATAGTGTACTTATTTAGTATAGTATAGTATAGTATAGTATAGTATAGTATAGTATAGTATAGTATAGTATAGTATAGTTTGCAGTAGTTTGTATTATATTTACATTGTAGTACTATAACTACAATGACTATAACAAGCAGGGTAACTGTAGCCTTAGGGAAGCGACTGTGGGAGCCCCGGCATACAAGTAGGATGGTACTTCTTAGGGAAGCGACTGTGGGAGCCCCGGCATACAAGTAGGATGGTACTTCTTAGGGAAGCGACTGTGGGAGCCCCGGCATACAAGTAGGATGGTACCCAGGCTAGGGTAACTGTGAATGTGTGATATGATTATGAGGCACTCCCAACATCTGCTTGGAGAGTGACTGATCCCAGTACAATTACAAACCCCAAAGTTTATAATCATATTATCAGAGTAGTCCAAAACACTTAAACACACAACAAACGTTCTACCTTCTGCCTAGTGAAGTGCCCACCTCCCCACTGCAGAGACAAATAGGCCAGGAGAGCGTAGGTTGCCGACCCGGCTAGATCGAAAAACTTCTCGGTGCTGAAGGCCACTGCCACCGCCCAGCAAACCCACTGGATCCCCAGGTCCAGCGCCGCAGACTTGTACAACACCGAAACGTCCATGTCGTCTGCAAATATCATGGAAAATACGAGGGAAATCGTGTTATATCAAGCGCTAATATCTGTGATCATTTCAAACTTGGTGCATGTTGTGTAAGATGTTTATGTAATAAAATGAGGGCTGGCTAAAATTTTATAAATTTAGTCTTGAAAAACTGATCTATCTTGTTATAAGAAGGCTGATCAAAATACCATATTCAAAGATTTAACATTTATTTCACTATTAATTTTATCAGTACAATGACTTTTGGTCTCTCATTTTTACCACAAAGAGATATTTTGTAATGAAGTTATTCAGGCAGCTTTTCATGTATCATACGACAGCTAAGCGCTGAGCGTAAGGGTAAGGGGCCTCAAAGTGGTTGGCGACTTTCTCTTCGGCGAAAGTTTCGCTTTCTTTAGCGATGTTTTCTTACGTTTAGTTTCTTGTAAGGTATGTTTCCCCCATTTTCATGGCTTTTCTAATACTCAAGGATTCCTATGAAACCTATCTGTGGGCTTAAAGTGCGCCAACTACCTGTAAACTTGGCTTATGTGTTAAGAGTGGGAGGGGGGCAAGGTACATCTGTTTGTTTCAAAGGTCCCGGGAACTTTACAAAACTTGATGGTACAAGTTTACCACCTCACAAATGCAGGAATCATTCATTTCAATGTTAGCTAAGGATTTAAAACATCTAGAAATCATATTTATGGACGTTCCATGTCAATTGTAGATCGCTAGGATGCTTTTTTTGTCCACAACAGTGTTTTCTAAACCCTCTTCTAAACCCGGAAGTAACGTTTGGATATTTGATCGCACTGATTTTTGTGGCTCCCTACGCAAAAAGAGAGAGACAACACGATCATTTAGTGCAAACCTACACGTCCTTAAGGCATATACCAAGACTTTCTTTGGATGCACTAGTCAAGACGAATGCAAAATTGACCTTAAGGGTTTCTCAAGGTATTCTCAAGGTATTAAGACAGTAACCTTAAATCTGAGTGACCTTAACGGGAGGGGTCCAAAGTCCAGCAGGGGTCCAAAGTCCGGCATAGTTTTAAAGATTATTATAATTCTGTTATGCATGGGTGAATCCACATAATAAAAACAACCAGTTATGGAGTAAGACTTTATGTAAAAAATAACAAAGTCGGGAAGTTTGTCGACGTTTATTGCTCAAACTGCTAGCGATTGAAATATTTGTTTGAATTTAACGCTTTTCGCGGAGGTTGACGAGGGAACGTGTCCAGCACATAGCCTTCAGAACTGTCAAATCATTCATCCTAGAGTGCGACATGTGCAAAGATTTTACCACACACATGAAACGTGATTAATATACTTTCCATAGAAAAAACACCATGGCTTGACATTGTCTTTATCCTTGGAAAATCGAAGCTAAAATAACGGGCAAATGTTTACACCTTTCGGCCCGCCATCTTTACTGAGCCGCTACGAACAGGCAGCCGCCGATGCTCAACAGAATGTCAAAGTTTGTCAACTCGTCGGAGCACCGACTATTCCCGAAAATCAAACCCTACCTGTTAGACAAGCCCACATCCACTACTTCTGTCAAAAACAAGGCTGAAAAGACCATTCAAGGCAACCGAAAGCGAATATATTTGGGCGCATGCAGTTGTTGTAAACAACGCCGCCATTTTGTTTCTGAGCGGCGGGGTGATTTCGCTTTCACCGAGGGGGATTTGTATCTAAGCGCATTGGAAAAAGTGGCGTAATAGAAAATATGGCACATGTTTGGGACCGAAAAACAGTATTGCACACTGATACTGTTTGCATGGAGTGCTGAAATATTTACAGTAATGACTTGTTTTTACGTATGCCGGAGTTTGGACCCCCTTTTTGTGTTGGAACGTTCTATGAGAACGCGAAGCAAAAACCTGCCGTGACTCTCGCGTGCTGTCAAACTGCAGTGCGGAACGCTACAGTGAAATGAAATATACGTCGGTACAGCTTAAATGACGGATATATTGCTGTTTCAAGATCTAACCTTATTTTTGATGGGTTTAGGGTCAGATGAACAGTAACAAAAGACATGCGTCAGCACGTAGAACAGTATGCCGGACTTTGGACCCCTCCCGTTAAATCAGTCAAGATCATCAGAGGCAATTATTTAGCATAGCATTGTGCACGTATATACAAATACACGCATACATTGTACATACATCCTTTAGATTTAAACCAAGACTTTTCTTTGCATACATGCAGTTAAGATTAGACAGTCATTTAGCGTAGAAATACACATACATACACCATACACCTACACACATACATTTTTACATGTACATCCTAAAGATTTAAACCAAGACTTTTCTTTGCATACACTACATGCAGTCAAGATGAGAAAGTCATTTAGCATAGAAAAACACACACATACACCTACATTTGTACACACATACATTTGCACATATGTGTACACCATTAAGATTTAAATCTTTTCTTCACACACAGCCAAGTTTCAAGTCCAAAGATGGGTTCTAAGCGGACGTTGATCCCCTTGTCCCTGACGAGGAACTATGCTCCAAACTGGGACGTGTGGGAGGGACTGAGGGAGATGGTACAGAACTGGCATGATGGGATCCTACAGGTGTATGATCAGGATCTCATCACATTTGACAGGGAGAACCTTAAATACACCCTCACGGTGAGTTATAATGACATGTAGCTTTGTTAAAGATGATTGCTAAATTTCTTAACTCTTAGCCTAGGTTTTCATATAGATTTCAACATACATATGTACATGTATTTGTATGCTCACAGTGAGGTTGAATTCCTTGATGCTTGCTTCTTAAATTACAATCTTAGATCAACCCTAGGTTTCAACATAATTGCATCAGGGAGTCTTATACTAGAGATCTAGAGTGCTTCAGTTCATTTATGTCTACATGACATGTTTAGGATTGAGCATGATTTTTTACATATTGACGTATTATTAGCTATCACTTCTGAACTGAAGATGCAGCCTTTTCTAATCTTCTGCAAGTACTAGTATTTATGTTTCTTTGTTTTACTAGAATTTCTATTCTATTGTTAGATTGGTTAAACCAATGTTCTACTTTACTTCATTTTCATTTTATTTATTTATACAGGTTAGCATATCGCGCTTAGTCACTTACTATCTACTGTATAACTATAAGATTCCACATAGGCTATTGTTCCTAGACTTCTGTTGTAGAACAGTGGCACTATAATGATTATAGTGACTTTTTCTTTTGTGTGTACAGAAAGATGACAGTGCTGTAGTGGAGTACCAGGTAACTGCTAAAGACTGGGACAACAAGACGACCACCCTGGGCTGGTTACACTACAGTAAGGTGGACAACAGACTCACTCTTATCAACAGGAACATAGGACTGCACAAGAAGGTGGGGATTTAACTATCTGATTTGAAAACTTGAAGTAAAACCTGACTGAAAGGAAACCCTTGATTCTAGATAGCAAAAATGTCATAGTACAGACATGACAGAACTAAATTTTTGGTTCAACACAAAAAATTCTGTATGATCCTTATGAATACTACAACTAATTAAAAGACAAGTAAAATCTGAGATTTTATACCTCCGGGCTTTTTATTGTATATTTCTATATGTTGTTTGTTATGTATAGTTGATGGTGTTGAATTTTATGTGTTAAGCGTTCCTGGTTGTGTTAACACAGGTCAACAAAACGTAAACAAAGGGTAGTAGTTGGGGGGGAACATTCAGACTGGGCAGAAGTAGTTTCAGGAGTACCCCAAGGCACCGTACTAGGGCCTTTATTGTTCCTAGTATACATAAATGATCTGGCCGACAACCTTAACTCTAACATCAGGCTTTTCGCCGACGACTGTGTCATTTACAGAGAAATAAATAACGACAATGACCATATCCTACTACAAGATGACATAAACATGTTAGACGCATGGCAGAGCAATTGGCAAATGGAACTACACCCTGATAAGTGCTACGTCATGCGCTACACCCATAAACGCAAAACTAAAGTATTTGACTATAAACTAGGGAGCCATACACTAGCTGAGGCTAACAATCACAAGTACCTAGGGGTTATCCTAAACAACAAACTTTCTTGGACTGAACATATCCATCATATTACTTCCAAAGCAAATAAATCATTAGGTTTTAGTAAACGCAATCTCTATAGCTGTCCTAAATCAGTTAAGATGAATGCATACACTAGTTTAGTCAGACCCCACCTTGAATACGCTAGCGCTGCATGGGATCCGTACTACAAGGAACATATTCACAAGATAGAATCGGTCCAGAAAAGAGCGGCCAGATTTGTTTCTAATACCTATGATACTTATGCCAGCACTACCAAATTGGTCACAGATTTAGGGTGGGACACACTAAAGGACAGACGCACAGCAAGTAGACTCACATTACTTCAGAAAGCAAGACACTCAAAAACAGCCCTTCCGGTCAAAACCTTGTTGACGCCTATCCCGCGCCAATCACGACACTTCAACTCCAACTCATACAAACCCCTAACGTTTCACAAAGACTGCTACAAATATTCATATTTTCCACAAACTGTCAGAGATTGGAACATTTTGCCCCAAGAGATAACCGATACTGCGGAACCCACGAAGTTCAACGCTGCAGTACTACAACACCTGAGGAAGCAGCAATAACGCATCGCACAGCTCCCCTGCACGTTTTACCCCAATCTAGGGGTGTTGTGCAGTACCCGAACAAGAACAAGAACAAGAACATTTTCATCTGCAGCCCATAACATGTACCCATGAACTTATGAAATTCTATTCAATCTGCCGCAATGAACTCGTAATGAAACTCAGAATGACAACCGGAACTGTTAAATCAGACGTTAAAAATAACGGCTGAAGTAGCAAGCCATCCTTATTGTCACTTCCTCCATTTTCCGCCAATTCTTCGTATAAATCGGGGAAGTAAAGGTCTGAATCCTCGGTAAAAATGCACGCCGAGAACGTCTGAGACCGTATACCGCGGTATTTGTAAGTTAGTAGTCGTAATATACGCCGAAAACATCCAAAACAAAGATTGCGCAAGAGTACGTTGACCCCTGACCCATTGACCAACCCGGAAGTTGCTGCCGATCACGCGTCCTGTGAACGCGTACTAAAAATACCCTCCAAACAACATTTTTGCGCCTCGCATACAGAAGATGTATGTGCACAACAACAATTGTTGCGCGCCGCAAGACTAAGAATTTATTGAGACCCGTCACCCCTCTGTGCGACTGTGGACGAGACCGACTATATCTGACACACGCAAAAGATCGACGGTCGCGACCCACTTTCTCACTCAAGGGGTGTTCTGGGGCCATCAAAAGGCTCCATTTTCACGCCCGAAAACACATATACAATAAAAACAAAAGAACGTGCATCATCTGCAGCCCGATAGCAAAACATATACCGAGTCTCAAAAGAATCCGTCCACTCAAACGCGAGGAATCGCTGCGAACGTGAAATTCTAAAACTCTCACAAAACCCTTCCGCGGAAGGATGTCTCCTCCCCCGGAGGCAATAAGAAAACTTAAATTGCAGGTAAATATTAGATACTAGTACACTAAACGAGTATCAGAGAAAGGTGAAGACAATATTTCTATCCATCATCAGCCATCTACATGGACATGTATAAGCCAAGAAGTCAGTGTACTGCCATCAGAATATACAATGCTTATTATGTACATGTAGAGCAAGAATTGTGTATACTTGTAATAATAATTATAATGTCTAATATAATAATATCTTTTGTCTGTGATGAACAGTGTTTACTGCTTGGCTACTCCCAATTTGACTATTTTTTTATAATCATAAGACATAAATTCAGATCAACTTCTTTCCTCGTGACATCAAGGAAAAGTGGCCTGCCAATTTGAGTATTTCCTGCATAAAGAAAGGTCTCCCGTGCCCTTATGCTGAGCGTAGGGTGGTGCCCATATCCATTTCTGTAGCCATTGGGCGACACACAGTTGTGCAAGGCACTACAGCATGGGGCTGGTCCGCTGGTAGTGCTGTGTGTTTGACCTTCCCACACTCTTTCTCATATGTGCTGAGTGCTAAGCAGAGAAAAAAGTGTGTACCATTTTCAAAGTCTTTGGTATGACACGGCCGGGGTTTGAACTCACGACCTCCCGGTTACAAAGCAAGCACTCTACCAATTGAGCATAAACAAAGGCTAAAACCAAGAAATCAACCATTTATAACTCTTACAGTGTTTACTGCTTGGGTACTCCAAGAAGCCTCGGTGCCGCGACGTGATTGGTCAGTTTGGTGAGGGGATGAAGATTGGTGCGCTGGCCCTGCTGAGGCGTGGCCGGCTGGTTACCATGGAGACTAGCGAGGACAGGTGGAGGTTTGAGCTGCAGCAGGATGAGAACTTTGGGGAGGAGGTGCTGACTGTGGTGGTGTCAGGTAAAGTACGGTGTCAAATTACATTGTATGTATAATACATAGTACAGTGGATTCATTGCTCAAGCTAACCAGCATCTACATTTTGTAACACACCACTGTTGTCCTTAAAGACATCAGGAGTTCCTGTTTAGAACTTATATTCAGCCTGTCAAGACTGCAGTGTGCTAGATGTTGGTTAGCTTGACTTATGTCAGTTGTAAAGGGCTGATGTTTAAGTTTAACTGGCTATTCCTCTATTTTCTACCATAGAGAGGAGCAGTGATTCTTCAAGTGACATAAACTTTCCAAAATGGTGAGAAAACATCGCTAGTATGTCACATTTTCACCTTGATTCATATGTGCTGTTTCCACATTGACTTCTGTTTCTGATGTCATTCTCCAAAAAAAGTATTTCCATTTGAGCACATTATTTGCTGGTGTGTGATATTTTACATAACTGATATTTCTTACCTGTAGTCCTGTGAAACTGGAGAGAGCAGACACCTGCACTACCCTCAGCATCCAACAGAGGGAGTGGCAGGAACACGTAAGTCATGTTTAGCTATTGTGCATACATGTATTTTTGCATTGTAACAGTTTCAATGTTCCTCTAGGCATTGAATAGATACAGCATAGTGTGGGCCCATTGTTTTCCTTGTAGTTGACTAGACCTAATGTTGTTTTGACAGGCAAAAAGATTCCTGTTCCTTGTACCACCTGAGAACTGTGTGAAGACTGAACTAGGTAAGATTCAGTGCAGCATACACATACATGTATACCTGTAGGTAACCTCTATCCACTGTCCAGAATAGAGAATAGAGAATTAGTAATACTGTAGTGCAGAGTTTGGTGAAGAAGATCAATTCTCATGTATAGACAAAGATCTCCATTGAATAATATACGGTAGCTAACATGTTATTTGTACTTTTGTGATAAGAAATGTTAAGGTAAGAAAACTGATGTGTATTTGAACAACATACATGTATTTTGCAACATATTATTGTCCAAAAATAGCATATTTTTATGATAATTATCATTTCGAATGGCTCACTCAAACATTTGTACATTGGTTTATCATTCAGTTTGTTGAACTGCAACAAACCAATAAAGAAATATTGTACTAGTATCTTCTACAAATGTATGTTCTTTTGCAGGTACCCTATTGTTAGATAAGGAGCTCCAGGGCCAGCTGTATGTGAAGAGTGTGTGGGTTCAGGACCTGAGGAAAGATGATCTGAAGACAGGAGTAGATTTCTGCCAGTTAGAAGTGGACAGAGACAGACATGCTGTACCACATCCTAGTGAGATCGACCATCATGTAAGGAAACAATTTTCACATTCAAGATTATGGCTATCCTGTTGCATTTGTGTTTGTTGCATTTTTTTGTTTTTGCTTGATTTAGTTTTGTTTGTCTTCAGCCCCATGTAGTACTGAATTTGTACTGAAGCTGATTTTCAAACATTTTTCCTGTGAAAAACCCAATTTATTGCTATTAAACATGTTTGTATGGTTCATAACAAAGCAAGGCTTCATCTCAATTGACTTGCATTATCAGGTTTGACATCAACAGAGGGCAGCCATATGGACTCACTTAAGTTCAGAATATTTTTATCAATCAATTAAATGCAATCTACTGTTTCCTGACACACAGTACATGGATGTCAAACTTTTTTTTTCCTTTAATTTTCATGGGAGTCAAATTCCCTGAGTTGGAGAATAGTTTTTTCTTATTGTGAATTTTTTCACTATTGCTGAAGAATTGCTTTAGTGAATGCTAGCCATACGGGCTTTGCTGTAGTATGATTTTCTGACATTGTTGGTGAAGAATAGCCATATAATAAATGTGAACCATATGTACTTTGCCACAGAATAATTTCCTAACATTTCACACCTCCCTGTCCTATAGGTGAGCAGTATGTGGGTGAGAGCTCTGGAGAGGAGACCAGACCTGGCTGGGCACTACTACATGCTGGTGGAGGATGAGTCAGTAACAGCTTCTGATTGTAATATAATATCAGATAGGTAGTGTAGATCGAAACAACAGTGGAAGTTGTAGGTCATATTTCAAAGGAAATGGTAGACCCAACAGCTTAACTCATCACAATCATGTTATACTGTTAGAAAGATAGTGAGTTCAGCACCAAGGAGAGAGCCAATATTTCTACAATGTAAATGTATAACATTTTGCAACACATTGAGCTCGTTGCCTGTATGATTGTTACCGATATCTGTCTGGATTCATCTTGTAAAGCAAGACAGTGGGCCAAAACCAGTTTGTTATGGTTAGAATTTGTCTGTGAATGTGTGTATGTTTGTTTTGCTTTGCAGTAAATGCCGAGATGTGAAATATGCCAACCTGTACAACACACAGAGTACTGCCATGCTGATGGCTGATCAGTTTGCACAGTAAGTACATGTACAAGAACTACACAATAGTACCACAATGACTCATGTCATGGAAGAAGGGAGCTCTAAGGAAACAGTAATGAGATGTTGAAGACTACACTTTGTTAGAGTGTGGCCTTGCCAGTGTGGACCCACAAGATAGGGTTGCTTGGAAATGTGGTGTGAAGACTGCTGCCTACCCATGTCAGGGACCCCAGAACATACAGTATAGTCTAAGACTGGATACAACTGTACTACTACTGCTACACCAAAATTCAAATTCAAGGTGTAGATGTCTTTCAAACCTCATGTACATCATGCAAAAACGATACCAAGTTTGTAAGTTTGCAGTGTTACATGTATATGTTATTATCTTGTGTGTGTGTGTCTATTAGTATTAGGAAAATTTTGTACATGTGTTTGTCTTGAATGGACGTTTACTTTCGTTGGCAGTTTGATCCTTGTATATCCTTGTGTTTTGATACAAAGTTCAGCATTTAACTGTGTTTGTCCTGTATTTTACAGGAGACATGGTGACTCCTCCTTCCCTGTAGTGAACACCATGGCTCTGGGAGAGCTTCAGAAAGTCAAGGATGAACTCAATAGAAATGTAAGCAAAACACACATGTGTACAAACTGTTACAATGTATATAGGCTATACAGATAGAGTAACACAGTACATGATACAGTACTTGGTCATGATATTTTGTTAAACATTATTTTGTAGAAGTCTATAATAAAGGAATCACACAGGTTGACTCAACAAAAATAGCAACTTATGTAAGGTCTTCTACACCTATACTTACAAACAAAAATGACTGGATTCAAGTACATGTTTAGGGTTAAATCAACATGTTGAGTTTAACCTACATTGTATTGGTCAGGCTTCTAACTTAAGAAATCTCTTTGTACATGAACAGTACATTGCCTGCTCACTGGTTCTATTTCACACTATAGCTAGGTATCACTTCTGCAGTGTAAAGGTTGTACAAGTAGTTCCAAACTTTTCTCTATGATTCCATCCCCAGATTGTATCATGTAACAAGACCCTGTATGAGATCCTACAGAAGTCAGGCCGACACGTGTCTGTAGAGGAGGCTCTGGCAGACAGCAGGGCCACTAAGAAGAAGAAAGTTGCCATCAACAGTCCGCGGCTGTCTGATGAACAGCGAGACGCGCTGGAACATGCTGTCAGGCTGGTACAGACAGCTGACCCTGACTTCAGGTCATCCTGGGTTGACATCATACAGACACAGCAACTGGAGGTAGACTTTGAATATACTGTAATGTAGTGTTGTAGTACTGTATGATACCATAACATAACGCTATAGTACAGTCATGTACACCGGTATACACATACTATGTACATGTGTATGATTGCATATTGCTATAAAACTTAGTGATGGCAGATCAGCACCAAGGAGAAAAGAAGGTTTTCACAACTTGTTGATTTTGAGGAAAATTGGTTCAAGATATGCCTCTTTTTCTGCTTTCATTGCTTTCATCATCCAGCCAGTCATAAAGTGTTTGTCATTTCCAGGGCCCAGGTTGGCATGGCAGTCGTATTGACATCCCCTATTGGATGTTAGATCTAGAGACGGTGCACAACTTTGGCAGACTGTGTGCCCAGGGTACAGCCAAGGTAAAGTTATACAATCTCAACCCTGTAGCTATGAGTTGTAGGGGTAGTCTATAGGTTGTCCTGTTGGAGAAATAGTGAGTTCAGCACCAAGGACATAGCCAATATTTCACAACTTGCTGATCTTATGTGCAAAACTGTGTTGATTTTGTGCTCTTCAAAAATTATGTGTTATGTGTTAACACCATACTTTTAAACTAGGACTATACTAACAAACTTGCTCCATCCCTCCCATCCTAGTACATGTACAGGAATTTGTGGCTGTGCCATGCCCTGTCAGAGCTGTTTGACTGTGTACAATGTACATGTACATACATAGGCCGCCATCTTGAGAGGCCGTTCTGCTTACCATGTACCTTCCTATCTTTCCCAGTGCATGTGCCGTGAGGTGAGACTGTGCCATGCCCTGTTAGAACTCAGAAGGCCTCACATCAAGAGAAGTGGTGGAAGATCCAATGATCCCATGCTGCTACTGGTGCTCAACAGATTGGCTCTTCAGGTATCTGTTATATCTGAGTCACATAACCATTGCTTGTATTATACTATATCTCAATGTGCTAACTTCCTAATGGAATAGCACACCACACTGTGAGTTGTTAAACAAATTAGCCTTGTTACAAGGGGGCTAGAATAAAACAAGAGCTGAGGGTACATGTATATATAGTACACACTCTATCCACCTGATGCTATCAATGGAAGTGTCCACTGAAAGATTTTTTTTTCAACAAATATAAGACCAGTTGAGGAATTGTCTTTTGCATCCTGTACTTACTATAACATGTAGTTCCAATGGTGTTGTCAGAAGTACCACCAACCCTGTGCAATGATCATAGTGTTAAAGAATTATATAAAACTAGTAGGTTCCTTAACATGTTGCTCCATTGTATTTGTCTGGAGTGCCACCAACCTTTTGCAAGAGTGTTAAACAATAATTGTATTTACTAGACCCTCTAACATGTTTTACCATTGTTGTTCCAGGAGTGTCACCGTGCCCCTCCGTTCTGTACTGCCTCCCACCAGCAGGGCAGACCTGTCAACACTGTAGCCACTCATCAGGACTGTGTGGACAGGGAGGAACAGCTACAGGCCAGGGTTATAGAGTTAGAGGTCAGAAAACAAAAGGTTGCAATAGTATGCCAGAAAATACACTGCCAATAATTATTAGCTCCTGATATGAACATTGGAAACTTGAGCAAAATGAGACAGTTTGGCATAATTGTCACTAACCTGTCACAAAATAGTTTTACCACTCTTCTGGCAATACTCCCACTAGCCAGCCTCCTGAAAATTATCTTTAGCAATAAGCTGTGACATAATGTTAGCATGAAAGTTTATCATAGGCCACACCAATTTCATTTGTTGGTTCTCGGATTCGCCTCTTCATTTTTTTCTGATTTGCAAAAAAAAAAAGATTCTGGTTCTGAATCAACTAAAAAATGCTCACATTTTACCCCCAACAGTTGAGGAAAGTCCCTTTCTTTCTAGTTGTTCCAGTTTTTCCATCTATCAATGCAGTGGTTTGACTAAAAGGTCAAAATTCATTGTTCAAATATGAACCCAGCCTTTTGTGTTGACTTCATGGCTCATTTCATAGCATTTGGGGCTATAATAGGATGCCTAGACCTGTTTTTATTTTTATTTTTTTTCGCCCTGTCGCTTCATATTTTTTATGAAAAAAATCTGAGAACCAACAAATTAAATTGGTGTGGCCTTATGTTGGTTCATGCGTTTTGATTTTATTTGTGGGGAAGAGTACTGTTTTAAACACAAGAAAGGAAGGAAACCTGGTCAAAGATTTAGTGAGTCCATTTACAATTGCTGCAATATGAAGACTCCATGAAACATCCTATCAGAATACTAGTATCTAAAATCAGATTTACATGTAGGTTTCCCAGGCAGTTTTACACAAGATCAGATTTGTGTTAGCCTGCATGGGTACCATCCAGATTTTCGCTACGCAACGAAAATCAGGATGGTACCCAGGCTAGATTTGTGTAGCCTTGAAATTAAAGCTATTCTAGATTAACATATCTGTCAAAGCCTAAGCCAGAAAGCAGATGATTTTAAAAGTGTTGAATTTGTCTTGCAGAAACAAGTAAAGCAGGTAGCAGAGAGGAACAAGACAGAACTGAACAAACTCACAACAAAGCTGTCCCTGGCAGAGAAGGAAGTCATGAACAAGGAGATCAGCTACCACGATGCCTACACCAGGTTTAAAGACATGTTCCAGGCAGAAGTCAAGAAACTCAAGACACAGTTCCAGGTTAGTTATAGATGTAGTTACTATATAGTTACTTAATAGTTTATTAAAATTTTCCAGCAGATGCGTGGAAGGGGAGGGAGAACAGGTGGGTCACCTTTACCAGCTCCCTCCCCAAATTGCATCAATGAAAAAAAGCATTGTAAAACAACATTGGAAATATATACTTTATAAGAGTAATACATAGAGATACATACAGAAGTATGGACATATAACATATAGTTAGTTGAAGAGTACATACAATGTATGTACTGCACAATCTTTAGCATGTATGTTTTATATTCAAGGTATCTTACATGTACATGGAATGACCACTAACTACTGTTACATAGAATTGTTCTTTTCGTGATGCTTACATGTACATGCATGAGAACATTGCCCTTTGTGAGTTTCCATACCATTTAATCAAGGTACATTTTAATGTATTATTCTATTGTAGCAAAATCTCTGCTATATTGCATTTTAAAAGCTGCTAAAAGAAAGGCTTTTTAATGTCTTTGATGATCTTTATAGGCTGAGTTTGACAAGAAAGACCTCCATGTACGTAAGCTAGAAGAAGATTTAGTCCTGTACAGACAGACGGTGGATGACAGGAATGCCAGGCTTGATACCCTGGAGAGGGAACATGAAAACTTCCCTCACACCCTGGTGTCCCAGCACCATGTACTGGTGGAGGAGGTACAGCACTACAGAGGGGAGCTGCAGAAAAGGTAGTCTGAGGTTACAGGAGTATTCTTTTACACAACCAAGTTATCTCACCTAAAGTGCTGATGTTTCAATGTCTATCAGACACCTTTCTCAGAGCTTCTGACTGGAGTTCTGCTATATGTAGCAGATGTAAGTGGCGCTTTTGCAGCAAGAACACAATCCCAAATGTGGCTGAGTTTGTACCCCCCCTTGTCCTTTACTTTAGGTGAGATAACTTGTTTGTGTAAAAGAAAACTCCTGTATTCTATACTTTACCAAGCTCATGAATCTATTTTCGGAAGGTACACATGTAGTCTGAGTTTCACTCTTCTAGCAGTCCTCCCACTAGTTATAGTTTATCTACAACAATGACTTGTGATGATTGTGTTAAATTGTTGGATAAATTGTGAGTTCAGCACCAAGGAGAAAGACAATATTTCACAACTTGGTGATGTTATGTACAAACCCTTAGAGTATGAGGCTTTGTCAAAGTTTGGCATACTTAAGGAATATCTAAGAAGGAATTCTACAATAGAAAGACAAGTAAGAAGGTACAGAATGTAATTTATATGTTTTTACATGATACTGCTAACTGATGCTGGCTTTTTTTCCACAGATGTGCCCTGATCACACAGTATGTGGAGAAACAGCAGACAGATCTCCGGGACAGGAACACAAAACAGAAGTGTCAGACAATCATAGATATGTGCACAGATATGAAGGAGGAGCTACATGTAAGTTTTTCATACTTTACATCTCGTGTTAGGTTTCAATGCCTCACTGGCAAGTTGCTGCAGTACATGTATGTTTTGAGAAGGCTACAGGTACAAGACTTACAAGTACATGTACACTCTTAACAAAAAATTTATTTTCAGTGCTAAAATGACCTTAGAACTACATTTGTAGCTATGGAAAATGTTAAACTGTTCTCCAACTCATAAATTTGACTCACCGGAATTTTCAACTGAATCACTCAGTCTTCCTCAGCTATCTGACCCAAATGCTGTGGACACGTGATTTTTCCCACGTGTGACGTCAGCAAAGGGTCAAAGGTTGTCTGAAGTCGATATCGCCCCCCCCCCCCCGTCCCGGTTGAGCGATGGTTGAAGTGCCCTGATGTATATGGCCTCTTTTATGCCTCTCTTGAAGTAATCCTGTTTGGTATCCAAGATTCTAACCCCCTCCAGATCCACTGTGTGTCCTGGTGATTCTATGTGGATGTGCTGTGACACCTCAGATGCAACAGAACTGGGTCGTCTACTGTATGTTCTAGAAACCTGGTTTTTAGTGAGCACTCAGTTTCCCCGATATAAGTTTCCCAACGGGGGCCTCTGTTAGTGTTTCCCTGGCAACTTATGTGGTAGATAACCCCACATTTGTCTTCCATTTGTCTTCTGTTACAGTTAACACTTTTATTTCTCTCCCTCACCTCTACAGAACCAGCGTTACGTGTGTTCAGTCTGTCACACCAAGAGAAGGTCCCATCTTATCCAGCCCTGTGGACACTATAACAGCTGTGAAACATGTCTGCTACAGTTAGCAGGCTGTCCTGTATGTAAGAAACCCATAGAGAGCAAGATCAAGGTGTTTGAATAATGTACTATTCCATGTACATATGTACATTCTAAACAAGACATTAGTTGCTGAATATTCCAAATGTGGCTTCCAATTATCAAATTGTGAAATTTTTACCCATTTTCATTGAGTTTGATAGGCTTAGTGCATTACAGAATAATACAAGACAGCCATCACCATGATAATCTGAGAGCATTTTATTCACTGTTATCAATATCAAGAGGTGTATACATTATAAAATCATATAGAAAGAAGGTTAACACTAGTAAGGTTACGTTTGTCTTACATACACGTGTATGTAGCTCGGAAATAATAAAATTGAAAAAAAATATGGAAATGCCCATTATTAGTGCTAGTAAAACAAGCCTTTCATCAAACTATAATGTCGTCATGTTTCCCAAAATAGACTATACATATTTCAGTCCTTAAGTCTGGTTATCTTAATCTAATTCTGGACTTACATGACTATTGTACATCTTAATTGTGTGAAATCCTTATTCTGTACATCATGCACAAAGGAGTGCCTAGTATACAATTAACTTGTTATTTTAGAATGTCGGAACTGTATCCAACATTATGTGTGCTCGATGTGCCACACCAAAAAAGTGTAACTGTGTACAATTACACTCAGAAAACCAAATAGATATTTGTATAGTGTACAATGCACTCTGTATGCAAGGCATACTATAAGCTATATCCAATAGTAACATGAGGAAGAAAACCCAAGAGGAGGAGGAGAATTGTTAAAGATTCTGCTGCAGATTCAATCTTTTTTTATATTTGATCTCATCACATAGCAAAAACATACATTTTCACAAAGGTGTTAACTTCCATGTATGTGTTAAATCACACTCAGACTGTAGTTTCTTGCAATATACCACATTTATCAAGTACTTTAAGATAGTTGAATTTGTCGATAGCTTCAACATTGGCTTGGAAAAATGCATACATCATGTGACAATCATTTGGTGAGATCTTATGCTCTAGGTTTATGCCTAACTTCTTGAAAGGTCTATCCTCAATGAAACAAAGTTGTATAAATGCATTGTAAAGCATAATTACAAAGCTTAGACAGAGAAGGGCCATATTTGAACCCCAAACACATCTATATATGGATGCTGATGGTACCGTGCAGTCTACTGTGAACTTCTTGTTTACATCACATGGAAATTCACCATAAATCTGTGCGATATTGACAAATTCATAATAGAAGAACAATAGGAAAAACAAGATTGTAATAGCCATGGAGGCAATTTGCTTGAAGACATATTTTTTGTGTAAACTGTTTCTTTCAGACCACTCTTCCAAAATGGCTCTTAGTTCCTTTTGCTTATATTCACCTCGCTCTATACGCCATTCTCCCCTGAAACATTTGTAAAGCATCTCCATGTCATGCACTATGAAGCGTAAGTTACAGATAATCTTTCTGGCCGTTGTTATATTCCAAACCAAAGTTGGAATGTACAATATGGCTGCCTGTATACCAAGGAGCAAAGCAAAGAGGCGGTAACTGAAGATGGAATTCCCAGAGAAATATTCCTTTGTCTCACAGTAAACATTGACAAATTCTGCAAGTTGCCTACTGTAAGCACCCAGGTTATCAAATACCATTCTTGGTAGATCATTAGTACCATTTGCAGATGTTGCATTTCTGGTCAGTTGAGTATCAGCAAGGTTCAAGTAGAAGCATTGTATGGATGATCCTGCATAAAAGAAAGAAAAAATCCATTCTAACCTTTTTTGATGCATAATTAAAAGGTAAACAATTAATACCTCTTATTACACCATACATGTATATATGTGCAGATTGAGGCCCAAAGACAAATTTGTCCTTGCACAGTTATACAAATTTAAGCACTTCTTATTCCCCTTTGTACCACATAATTCAGGTTTTTGGTTTACAAAATACGAATTATGATTATGGTATTGACATGTTTTTGGGGTGGAGGTCAACGTCTAAGGGTATTTTGTAAAAGCATCCATTTGAAAGTGTTCATGTGGCCAAAAAATAGTTAAAGTGCAACCAAGCATTACCAAAGAGATCTCGCGCCATCACTACAGTCCCCAATACAATGGGCAGATAGCAGGACATGACCTTGGCGGCATAGTCCACCCATAGCTCTGCATGAAGTCGGGCAGGGTCCGTCGGATGTAGCAGGCCACTTATGAAGTTCAGCGACATCTTGAAAGGTCTAGGAAAACAGGACCCTGCAAAGGATAAACTTAGATGTGTCAGATTGAAAATAATCGATGCACGGTGGCTAAATTACTAGTAATTGTGTCGAAAGCACGTTTCCTGATAAAATGAGCTCCCCTTTTCCGGCCCATTGCAATGAAACTACGTATACGTCGACTATCCCCAATGAGGCTAGGAGTTTACAGTTCTCAAGGGGGAAAAGACCCGTTTGGGGTGCAACATTTGCTGTTCAATGTGACACAACCATACCGATAACTATAAAATGAACGCTTCATTGGGTGACATTGCAGTGACGGCGTGGGTAACGCTTTGTGTAGTCCTGTCGGACGGTAAACACGGTGTAACACTATACAATGTCATGCATGCAGAACGAGTTTGCCATTATGTAAGGTACATGTAAACTATAAAAAAGAACTGACAAAACTGTTGAGATCGCGTCACACACAGCTCAGTACAAACAGTTTCTCCCTGTACATGTATGACCCTACAGCTAATCTTCTGGCGGATGTGAAACTTACGTACACACAACAATGTAGTTAAGGGCATACGACACCCGACCCGGAGACTGAAGTAGGACCCCTTAACACAAGTCCTTGGTATTAGCCTTACGCACCAGCGGATTGACATAAACCCGACTAACTTACCGTACTTCTAGTAAATGCACCACCAGAATAAGGCATCGCAATTTTCGTTGAGCACATATCGTCTTGTGTCTGGTATAGTGCAAAAATGAGTCCTTAAAAGGACTTAGCATGTATGTGTAAGCAGGTGTAAGAACTACTTATGACGTAAAGGTGTGGTGGAAGCATACACCTACAACCTTATCACCGACAGGTGAATGTGAATGTTACCACATGAGGTTACCAGAGACAGCAGTGTAGTTTTTCTTTTCTTTTCTAAGCACACCGAGAGTATATTCCTGACGAGGTAAATCCTTGCTTTGGTAAGCTTTCTGGAGTTGAAGGGTTGATTTTCAACGTCTCTAGTTGACGTCTTAACTTTCTTAAGAGGAAAATCTTTTTATCCCAGCCTTCCGTGTTTCACGTGCCGCCATTTTCTAGTTGACAACTAGTGTAATACTATCTTTTCCCATAAAGTTCAGTATATTACAGTAACGTCAACTGTTGTGGTTCTCAATTACATTACTGACAACGTCATTGTGTGAAAGCAGTTACTGACACATTCAAATAATTTGTACGGGCACGGACCTCTTTTAACAAGCGAACACCTTTTTTAATTACTTGCATTTTCGGCGCTGACCATTTGCATTGTATTCATGTACCGGACGAAAACGTGTTATTTTTTTGAGGGAGGGTCTTTTGGCTACGTTCCACGAGCCCTCCTCCTCTATTTCAACGGATTAGACCTTCTGATTTTCTACTGTCCTATAACTTGTGCTAGTGCTTTTGGTCAATTTTTTGCATCATTTCTTTTTTGTTACAGGTTGAATTCAGGGGTCAGATGTGCTACGTTGAACTTTGGTCATGTCGACTAACACTCCAAGCAAAAGCGATTCTAGTTATGAGAGACTCCAAGCGGGTTCAGGTAAAGTAATTTAATATTGGTAGAAGTAACATCACATCAGATTCTGTACTAGACATAGGGGACTATTACCTTTTTGGGTCAACGATCATAATTTCTGATAAAAAGCTGCCCTATAAACAAATTTAAAGTGCTATGAGTGTTTGGTGTCAATTATATGAGTGTTGAGTAAATTTGCTAATTCACATAGACAACACAAATAGCATTTTATAGACTTTGAGGGAGTTCCCAGAACTTTAAAAAGTCAATGTTGCATGCTATTTTAGGTCGACTCCCTAACCTACTAGGGGACATAAAACATTGTCTCTCAGTATTAAATGAGAAGATTGACAGTGCTGAGAGGAAGATGTTAAATGACATCCCAAAAGAGACACAGGATAAAGTGGCAGATGCTCTACACATCCAGACTCAAGACATAATGAAAGGTAAGCTAAAATACACTAGAGAGGCCGACATTTGCTTGGGAGCAAATACAGCATATTTCAGTCCATCTCCCTCCCACGCAAAAGTGGACTATTCCAAACTGACCCCAGTGTAAAACTGGCAAAGATTCTCAAATAAATGAATTATATAGTTTTAGCTATGTAATTGAGAACAAAGATGCAAGAACAAGCACATTGAATCTCGAAAGCTTTACTAATCTTATTACAGGTATGCAAATACTAACAATGATGACATTTGATACATTTTCTAGGTCTTAGGCACATAAAATTGAATGTGTGGGACATTACGCACGACTTACTTGCAATGTGACCCCAGGTAACCCGCAATGGAACATGTGTTCCATGGCCAAGGGCAGAAGGAACAGGTATTCTTTAGATAGAACATGGAACGGGTATAGCACTTTTGGCCCTTTTTTGCTGAAAATAGCCATTAAAGTCCCCCAAATGAGTCATTTGGAAGTGGTGTATGCCAAATATGTGACTGCTATTCTGTAGACACATGTTCAAGGTACCCTTATACCGAATTTAAGATCATTTGGTTGTAAAACCAGGGCTCAGGATCCAAAAATCCATTTTTTGGCAAAAAATGCCCCAAAAAACTTCATAAAAATTTTTCAAAGGCATGTATCAAAAAAATTTAAAAAACGCCTGGGGGTATTGGCCCACTCTACCTCCATGCCAAATTTCAAGTCATTTGGCTGAATGATGGCGGAGTTGAATCCCTTTAACTGTGTGGCAGGAGGAGAAGAAGAAGAAGGAGGAGGAGAAGAAACATGAAAGAACACAATATATTTCATCCATACCATGGTACACAATAACAATACTGAACAAGAAGCCATAGGTGACAATTCTCCGTGAAGTATTATATATTGCAACAAAAAGAAGTAGCCATTGGCGACAATTCTCTGTGAAGTGTGATAAATCGAACAAAGAAAAATTGTTTAAACGCGCGTCGGCTCAGTCATCTTAAGACGCAACAACCAATCAGAGATGCGAAATGCCGACACGTGACGCGGGATTTTCATACAGTCTAAACAACGGAGAAGGGCGCGCGATGCCCGAAATATTTTTGCGTCAATATTCAGCGCCGTGTTTCAAGAGATTAATACCGGGAAACAATTTCTTTTCTTGTTTTGAACGCATAAACATGCATTTACGCTAATCTAGTATGATTCAGGGTTACTTTTTTTTACCTGCCATGGCCAGATTATCTAAAGATGTGTGTATTGTGTGTACAATCTACAGAAAGAGAAATGTACATCAGATCCGATCATCCGATTTTCACGTTTCGGTTTTTTGGACTCGGTTCATGAACGTATTTTGGTTTGGCTCCTGGAATGTGCGAAAAAAATGACTCCCGGGACTGTCTACAGGGAACACTCGCACATTCGCGGTGTATCAGGACAGCGCGACTGGTCGGCATTAGCGCAGTCCCTGCAATTAGTAACAGTTGCACATCAATCCGGCCGAAAGCATGATTGTGTAACACAGGCTACTTCTTTATATACCGGCTCATACTACAAGACGCCTTTACAACTAGCAAATCATAAAATTAACTCGATCTACTAGTATGTGCGGTTGACCAGCCCCAGACCACATCCGACCACGAGGCAGAACACATTGATGGGTTGCTCAAAAATATTGTCCATGTTTACAAAGAGCTGCTCCACTAACACTTTGGAGCGGCCCAACCCAAAAATATTGGCCAGAAGCGGCCAGCATGCTCGTTGCTAGGACGACCGGCCAGTTGCTACGTGACTAAATACACGCCGCCACTAGGTCGCCACAGCCGACCAGTTCGAAATCGATAGGATTACGTCATCGGTATTTACATTTCGTAATGCTGACCACTCCACATTTCCGTCCCCATCAGCCTGACCGCGTCACATAAACGGACGAAAACATTTTTAACGACATGGGGATGTTTCGAAAATAAGCATTTACTCCAATATCAAAACAGCTACGGTAAAAATAAAAAGACGTGCATCATCCCGGACATAATACCACACCACATGCGAAATTACACAGAAATGCGACTTACGGAAGAATGCGTTTTGGCTGCGAACATCTCCCAAAAAACTTGCCATCTCTTAACCATGGGCAAAAACATCTGGAACCACTTATCAAAACCACCCCGTATCTGCATGAAGTTCCACCCCCCCCACTGCTATTCCAAACAACGCGTTTTTCTGCTATGGACCATTCCAATTCGCCTCGTAATTGTAGGGGTGCGTCTGCAATATTACATTGACCGCGAAAGCAGCAACGGCAAAAATACACATTCGTGCATCAACACGGGCATGCCCGCAGACGGCGTATAAAATTGCGTGCCGATTACACAAAGAGAACCCAGTGTTTTGACTGCGAACATGAAAAATCAGCTGATCACAACACTCCGTCCGGAGGTCCTGACCTCCTTCACGGAGTAATTAGATAAACATGCAAGGCAAAAGAGCACGTGGAAAGTTGGCTATTGGAGAATATTTTGTTAGGCCACACCAATTCAATTTGTTATATTTCAGTCCATACCATGGTATGGATGAAATATTTTGTTATATTTCAGTCCATACCATGGTATGGATGAAATATATTGTGTTCTCTCGTGTTTCTTCTCCTTCTCCTCCTCCTGCCAAACAGTCAAAGGGATTCAACTCCGCCATCATTCAGCCAAATGACCTGAAATTTGGCATGGAGGTAGAGTGGGCCAATACCCCCAGACGTTTTTTTCCATTTTTTTGAAACATGCCTTTGAAAAATTTTTATGAAGGTTTTTTGGGGCATTTTTCGCCAAAAAATGGATTTTTGGATCCTGAGCCCTGGTATTACAACCAAATGATCTGAAATTCGGTATAAGGGTACCTTGAACATGTGTCTAGAGAATAGCAGTCACATATTTGGCATACACCACTTCCAAATGACTCTTTTGGGGGACTTTAATGGCTATTTTCAACAAAAAAAGGGCCAAAAGTGCTGTACCAGTTCCATGTTCTATCTAAAGAATGGCCTGTTCCATCCATGGAACACGTGTTCCATTGCGGGTTACCTGAGGTCACATTGCACGTATGTTGTGCGTAATGACCCACACATTCAATTTTTATGTGCCTACAGTAAGACCTTCAAAATGTATCAAATCTCATCATTGTTAGTATTTGCATACCTGTAATAAGATTAGTAAAGCTTTCGAGATTCAATGTGCTTGTTCTTGCATCTTTGTTCTCAATTACATTATATATATATATTAGCTACTATATAATTCATTTATTTGAGAATCTTTACCAGTTTTACACTGGGGTAAGTTTGGAATAGTCCACTTTTGCGTGGGAGGGAGATGGACTGAAATATGCTGTATTTGCTGCCAAGCAAATGTCGGCCTGTCTAGTTGGTTCTTGGATTTTTAAAGAAACAATATGAAGCGACAGGGCGAAAAAATTTAAATAAAAACAGGTCTAGGCAATTCCTATTATAGCCCCAATTGCTACAAAATGAGCCATGAAGTCAACACAAAAGGCTGGGTTTATCTCAACAATGAATTTTGAACTTTTAATCAAACCAATGCATTGATAGATGAAAAAACTGAAACAATTGGAAGAAGAGTACTTCCTTCAACTGTTTGGGGTAAAATATGAAGATTCAGAACCAGAATTTTTTTTTTTTGCGAATCAGAAAAAAATTAAGAGGCGAATCTGAGAACCAGTAAATTGAATTGGTGTGGCCTTACGTCATTTTTGACAAAGTGTATAATGAATTGATGACAAACATGGAGAAATCACAGGTCAAACAGTTAACCCTACTTACATTTTGTAGCCCAAGGAATTGTTTAATCTTTCCCACTGTTTGAGGGAACCTCGAGCACCGTAGGCGCAAGGCGAGTGCCGAAGGAGCGAGGTTCCTAGGGGGGTCCGGGGGCATGCTCCCCCGGAAAATTTTGAAAAATGAACCTTCTAAAATGGCATTTCGTGTATTTTTGAGAGGAGTGCTAAGATAAGACTGTCATTGGGTGGAGATTATGTTCAACTGATATTATCCATGCAAATGAAAGCATGAACACAGAGAAAAAAATTGTCATTTCAAACGGTTAACAATTGATTTGGTGAAGGTATGAGATTGTGGAACTCGTATTACAATCTGTTTACGATCTGTATATGATTCATGCTGTTTTTCGAAAATATGTTTTTAGGTTTTCAGGACTGCATGGATGAAATGATGAAACGGGAAACGATGGAGCAGGAGGCAGCACAGAAGGAAATTGAGGACTTAACAGGAGCCATAGATGAACTGACAAACAAACTGGCAAAGATGGAAGAAGAGGGAAAGTCAAAGGATGAAAATATGGAGAGTCTTCAGAAGGAAGTCACCCGGCTCACACAAGAGAAGGAGGCAGTACAGCAAGCTCTCTCAGACAAGAGGAATGAAATTGCAGACTTAACAGGAGCCAACAAGGGTTTGAAAGACACCATAGATGAACTGACAAACAAAATGGCCCTGCTGGATTGGGAAGAAGGCTTAAAATTAAAGGATGATTCATCAGTTCCATCTAATGCTGATGAGAATAAAAGTCATCCTGATTTGACACATTTGGACCTAGCCACCACACTCAAGACTCAAGACTCAAGCTTCACAGATTGGGTCTCTGACCCCTGCACCAAGAAACTGGTGCTCAAGATGAGGAAGACATCACAAGCACTGACAGTTGTGGAGGCAAAACATGAGATAGCTCTGAACCAAATGGGGTTACAGGAAGACATGGTGAGAAGTCTCAAGAAAGAAGTCACCCGGCTCACACAGGAGCAGGAGACAGCACAGAAGGTTCTCCTGGACAAGAACAAGGAAATTGAGGAACTAACAGGAGCCAACAAGGGCATGAAAGACACCATAGATGAACTGCTTGCTGAAAAGACAAAACTGACTAACAAACTGGCAATGATGGAAGGACAGGAAGAACAACGATTTCGAAGCAGGCATGCTGTGGGGGAAACCAGTGCCAGGGAAACCACAAAAGACACCATGGATGAGGAAGACAAGGTGACAAGTCTCCAGAGGGAAGTCACCCAACTCAAACAAAAGCTGGAGGAAGTGCAGAAACTTCTCCTGGACAACAAGAGGGAAAATGATGACTTAACAAAAGCCAACAAGGGCATGAAAGACACCATAAATAAACTGACAAGGTCAAAGGATGACAATTTGGAGAGTCTTCAGATGAAAGTCACCCAGCTCACACAGGAAAAAGAAGCAGTGCAGAAAGAGCTCTCAGACAAGAGTCAGGAACTTGAGGACTTAACAGGAGCCAACAATGGTTTGAAAGATGAACTGACTAACAAACTGGCAAGGATGGAAGAAGAGGGGAAGTTGAAGGATAGAAAGGTGGAGAGTCTTCAGGAGGAAGTCACCAGGCTCAAACAGGAGAAAGAGGCAGCACAGAAAATTCTCTCAGACATGGCAGGCAGTAGCCCAAGTATGAATGGTGAGCAAAGTACAGTGCAAAGGACATCTGATTGTATTTGTCTTGGAGTACATGACTTTGCAAACAGATCAATGCATTATAGTAACGAGCAGACTATGACATGCAAAATTGTAAATTATTTCACTTTACAATTTATCTTTATTGAAGAACATTACAGGTTCAGAATTATTTAACACCAATTTATCTTTACTACGTTATTCTTCTACCGCAAAGATTTAAAAGAATCACATATTGACAAGAATTAATCAATTTATTTGAATTACATGGTACTAAGTACACACCAACCAATAAAAATAGGAACAATCTAGTCCACATTTCATAAAAAAACTATGGAGTCATACAATGTAGGTGTGCTGGAGACTACGACGAAAACAATAATCCATGCACAAGCATATTAATTCCATAATATATCTATTTTTTATGTTTAAATCAACATATTTCTAAAAGTTTAAGTCTCGGACACAGTTATAGAGCTCTGTGTTCCACCTACAACATTGTACTAAAAATTCTCCTTTTTCAAACCATCTAATCTAGATGAGGCAAGAGGAGGAGCTGCTGGCACAACATCCGACGGAAGTCATCATAGAGGCCAGCGTCAACATCGCTTTAAGTTACCGTCTTGCCTTTCTCCCAAGACAAAACCTTGAATGTAGACCAGTAATAAAAGAAGTGTCAGCGTGCATGGTCCATTGGTTAGTGACGGCCACTGATCGATGACCAGACTCTGTGAGTCTGAAACCTGACAATCAATCACCTGGCATACATGCTGCTGTAAAGGGTTGCAGTCCTTATAGAAAGAGGGGAGTGACCCGTTGTTCATTGTGCTTGTCAATCAATCAATCAATCAAAAAGAGCCAGGGGAATTTCACCAGTACGGTGAATGCTGCATCAAAAATATAGCCAGCCTGCCCAAATTTAGCATAATCAGGGGACACATTTTATTTGCCTACAGAGAGTGTGGTTTTGTATGCGCTGTAAAATTAACATTACGTTTATTGTTATACAGTAGTAAATAATGATATCAGATTCAGAAATGATGACCCAAAGTTTAAAAACAACATACATAGTTGTATGTGTATAATGTAGTCCTTTTTATTGTTTTTATTCATTGTCCTTCAAGAAATAAACAAGTAATTGACTTGTAAGTAATTGACTGACTTGCATGTAGGAACTGCAAGCAACACTAGACTAATAACATTTTTACAGTTAAGAGTAAATGTGACAAAACAGATAATTATGCACATATCATTGCGGTCTGCTGATGTAACATGATGTAGGTACAAAATGAAAACTGCCACACACAATGATGATGACTTCAGTACAAATACATATCCGTGGGCTACATGCAAACAAAACAATAATTATATCATGACATGGATATGAACTATGTAAAGGACCCATGTAAAATAGCAACATTGTCGAATAATCTTTTAGAATCTAACAGATACATAGATACCCATTAGGCTAATGAATTTTAAGAGCTTACAGAAAATCAAGAAAGATTATATACTGCAGTAAAATTGTATACAGCTTGTGTTATGTGAGCAGAACTTTTTTCGCTCACATCGACATAAAAATAATCATGTTCTATTTGGCATCATTATACTAATTTGAGAAACGAAGAATGACTTCTGTAATGTATCTTTTACAATCAATAAAAGTTTAAATGACAGAATTCAACAGTTTTCAGTAGCTACACATTCAAGTATATTCGCATTCTTTGTCACCATTTTTACATTTAACGAAGAATGTTGAACAGGCTGGACGACAGATTCTAAAGTGAAAGTCACAAAACACCTACTGGGGTACCGCAGTAGCTTACTGCCCACTTTGTTTAACTTTTAACATGCTTGCCATATGAATTGTAAAAATAGCTGTCTGTTGTCTGAGAATCACTGTAACTGTAATATAGTAATAGGTAAGACTGCATTGAGCAGGATCAGTTTGTCACGGGCGTCCACCTAAATACCTTAAACCTACTCCCTCCTATCATTTATAGTTCAGAATATAGACTTTTAAATAAACAACAAACTACTCAGATTTGGCATCATTTTGCTTTGTGAAGAAGACAGCAGGAATCTATCTGCTAATGAAGCAAGGCCGTGTGTGTTACACCGAAGGGCGGTTACACCGCCTATACCGATACAGATACAGGCCACTCAGGCTAGGAGGGACAGAAGTGGTCAAACTTACAGTCACACCAGCTAAATTTCATATATACATGTAACTTTAGCAGGCAAGAGGGGCAATTTGATGAGAGAAAAGTAGTTTAAAGTCTCTGAATGTTGTTTTGAAGAAAAATTTGTGATAAATTAACTTGTGTATAAAAAAGTAAAGAAGGATACAAGTATATTATTTATAGGTCTTGACAACTAATGTGCATCAACTGCAAGAATGTCTAGAATGAGAAGCTACAGGTAACTATTAAAAATGACCACGGTGTGATGTGGAGAGAAGAGCCTCAGATATCAGTGCAAATTATAGCTCGCTAAGAGGATGATTAATACATAACTTTTTTTCTGGGAGGAAATTTCATTCTATTGTAACTGACATTAACAGCTCTGTCAAAAATTTTCACTAGAAGTTTATTGTCAGCTCATATTCATAACAGAAAATAGGGTTACAGTGCATCCTTTAGTAAAAAAATCAGAAAACTCGAGGATGCACTGACAAAGGGTCTTTCCAGACTAATACCATGAACATTTCAGCACCAAGGACAGAAACACTGCAGCTATGTCTGCAAAGAGTTTTTTCACTTCTCTAATTACATGTATATGCTAAAGTACAAAGCATAAATAATGGAAAAACTGACATTAGGAGTACTAAAACTGATCAACCTGAGAAGGCTATAACTTATATATAAGTTAGTAATACTTGGATTTATAGAAGCACTATCTCATAATGCTAGTATACTAAAAAGTAATAAAGAGCAAGGTGACATACAAGTACATCAGACAAAGCTCCAATTAATGACCAGTACCTTTCAATGAAGTACAGAGAGCAAAACAGAAAAAACTCCCCTTCTGTCTGACAGGCCAGGGTACTATGGAAAGGAGAGTAGAAATTATGAAATGTATTTACTATACTAGTTAGCAGTATGGATATGAATTCTGACACTTAGGCCTGCTTTACACATAACTTTTTCAAGGCAACTAGAACTCAAGACGACTTGAGCTAGTCGACTTGAGTGAAAATTTCCCTGTGTAAAGAGAATATAATTCAACTCAAGTTGCATTCTAATAAAGACGACTTCGTTGTCGTATCCAAACCCAAACCAGACTTAAGTCAGCCAGCGGGCGAAGTCGTGTGTAAATTTCTCAAGTCAACTTCACCGAGTAGACTTAGAAATGGTGTGTGTAAAGCGGGCCAATGTCCCTTTCCAGAACAACTACTTGTTTTTCGAATATTCGAACCTGGCAACAGTTCGCCAAACATGTAAACAGTGCAGAAAATACTGTGTTTGCAATTCAGACGTGTTTTTCAGCTCCTGGTTTACGAGCAGTTTTCACACCCAAAACATCGAAACTCGCTGTTTCTTACTGTCGAAAATGCAGGAGAGCAGATCTGATGTTGTACTGTCCCCAGTGGGCACAAGGTACGGCGAAATTGGCAACTTTTATATAATTGCATAAAACTAAAAGATAATCATCATGATAGCTCAAGTTTTTGTTCAAAGTAAGACAAAGGACTGAGATTCTGGCCGACGGCAATTGCTTATTCGAGGCATCAGGATTTTTAAGAAATCCGGAAAAAGTCCAGTTACTGGGTCTTTCAGCCAGAAAGAAAAGCAGAATTCATAGACTTGGAATACATGCAATGTCATTTAGAAAGAAACAAAAAAAAAGGCATGCAGGAGAGATGGCTTGTTCACTGAAAGACAATGCATTATAATTTATTCTTATTAGTTCATCCTGTGATAGAATCATTCTTTGGACAGAAGCTTGAATATTGTAGCTAGCATCATAGGATATAGAATTCATACATGAAAAGTTGAGGAGATAGAGTTTTCGAGCAACTTTGTCATCACTATGGAATTTCTGAATGAGACACTAACAAGATGGGGAGACAAATGGTAGAGGTGCAATTATGCACCTGTTTTGTCTCTCCTCGATGCTACATGCTGTTGCATTGGAAAGTCTAATAGATAAAGAAATAAGATATTGTGGTGTAGGGTATAGAAAGGGAGAGAGGCGTAGAAGAGAAGGTGTATATGATGCACTACATCAGTAATTAGCTACACCAGGACTCCCATGGGAAACTGAAGTTTAGTTTGTCATCAACAATTAATCAAAAGAACAGTAGTTCATTCAAGGAAAAGAACTTGAGCCAAGGAAAGAACTAGATGAAAGTTTTGCTTTAGGAAAGATTGCCTAGCTCGGTCATGATTCGGAGTTTTTTCTCAAGCAAGTGTATTGAAGTGTTTCACTTGCATCACATCATAAAACAAAAAAGCAGTTACTGCATACTATATATAGATAGATGGCATCTCATTGCAGCACGACGTAAACCATTATTGAAATGGCACAGTGCAGAAGTAGGGAGCAGATGCGAGAGGTTTATACTTACAGATTAAAGATGGATGAAAAGTTGAGAAATAAAAAAATGAGCAACATTAGAGGATTATATAATGGAATAGAGCAGAAACTAAGTTTTTTTACAAGACTGGAGAATGTTCAGTGGTCCAAAACAAGTATTTGGGTACATATAGTCTGTGTAAGAAAAGTTGCTGTACATGTACAAATGTACGTATGTCAGGAAAATAAAAAATAAAAATGTGCCCTAGACAAAACACGCCTTTTAGTAACTTTATATCTACTGTACATAATACAGGACATAGTGCAATAACAGCTCTCATGATGAAGACAAACATATACAATGTACTTTCCAAGTTGGCGACCATGAGGCTTGTTTTAACTCAATTTCTCTTGACACTATATCATGAGCAGATATGAGCCCTGTCCTTGGTGCTGAACATTCGATATGAGACGATATGATCAAACCATAGCAGACCTTATTCTGCTGCATTTTTCAAGTAGAAAAAAGAAATCAGACAGGGAAGGGATACTTCTTGCATTTTTGAGCTCTCAAAAGGATATTATTAAATTGAGGAATTGTAGAAAGTATACCCTGACATTAATTTGAGCTCAGGCAAAACTGCCAGTCAACACTGACAATATACAGAGAATGGTAGGGCAAAGAACAGTTAAGTAAGGGCAATATTCAGAGAAAGTAAAGTTGCAGAGTAAAGAAAAGCACAAAACAGGGCCAGCAATAAACCCTTGAGACTGATGGAGTTGTCCGAAACAACAACATAGCATTTCCTGTGCAATAGATATCTTTTGTGAAAGTCCCCATCATGTTCCAAGATGGAGGGATGCCAACAAGATATCTTTTATCTAGTAAGAGGATTGAAGCAAACCAAAAAGCAAAAAGTCAAACCTGATACTGACAATAGGAAAGTGAGTTGAATTTCAGAATATCCAACAAAAGGTTCATAAAAGACTAAGAAACTTATGCTTTGTTCCAGCCTGCAAATTAGTCTGCAAATTAGTCTAAGAGTGTTTATGCACTCAAGCCTGAAGAGTTGCAAAAGATAAAAATACATGCATGAAAGAGCTACACATAGATCTGTCCAGTAGAAAAGTATTTGGTTTCAGAAGCCGGACAGCGTTCCACTGCATCAAACCTTGTTTGAAAAAAATGCTCTTTGTCAGCTCAATAGCATGCATGTTAGATTACTGAAGATCTTTGGAATGTAGGAAAGGTTTAACAAAAAAAGAACAGACTGAAGTAGTAAAGGTGTCTAAGCACCTACAGGGACGTACCTCAGTACAGTACTGGAAGAGAATTGAGACAGATCTAGTCAAAAGAGCTAATAGAACTGTCCAGTAGATCTAGTTGTCTTTAACAACTACATAGCATTTCCTGTGCAATAGATATCTTTTATGGAGAAAGTCCCCATCGTATTCCAAGATGGAGGGATGCCAACAAGATATCTTTTATCTAGTGAGAGGACTGAAGCAAACCAAAACACCAGCAAAAAGCCAAACCTGATACTGATAATAGGAAAGCGAGTTGAATTTCAGAATATCCAACAAAAGGTTCATAAATTTAAAGAGTTATGCTTTTTTTCCAGCCTGCAAAATAGAGTGTTTATACACGCAATCCTGAAGAATTGCAAAAGATAAAAATGCATGAAAAGAGCTACAAGATCTGTCCAGTAGAAAAGTATTTGGTTTGAGAAGCCGAACAGCGTTCCTCTGCATCAAACCTTGTTTGAAAAAAATGTCCTTTGTCAGCTCAATAGCATGCTGAAGATCTTTGAAATCTAGGAAAGGTTAATTTAACTGCTACAAGAAAAGAACAGAGGCGGCCAAGAAACCTACAAGCTTCACTACAATTATTAATGAAAAGTTTGCTTTACTTTTAGTGCCAATTTGCAACAAGTGCTAAAATTCCTTTCCTAGAGAAATCTATAGATATAACAGGACTTTATAAATGTTGCAAGTCGAATATCATCGCTATAGACCAGGACATTCTCAGCTGGTCATTTGCAATTTTAGCATAACAGGAAGTAAAGAAGGTCATTCAAGTTTCAAGGAAAGCTTTGCACTAAATTCTAGGCTAGAAAGCAATAAGATGAATATGTGCACATGCTACACACAACATTGTTAGATTCTGAAGTACCACCATTGTGAGTTCTGTGATGCTCAGGCATCCAAATACAGCCTCAAGAATAGACTTGTCTCTTACTTTATAAAAAGTACATTACAATATGTTTTCAAGAAAGAAGATAAATATATATTCATACACTCTATCTTTCACACTACTTAAGTTAGGGAAATATTGATAAACATTAATCAAAGCTCACTGCTGGATGATGCCTAAGTGTACCGTTTCTTACACCATTTCTGCACATCACAAAAACATAATTTACAAGTAGTATAGTTCCTTGACATAATTTCTGGAAGACACAGAGGTTATTATAATAGAGGATTATTTCAGTTTTGAGAAGAAAATTTAACTCTTTTTAAAGGAATTCCATAGAGTAGACAGTTTTGTTAAGATTGGGGAGGTAGAGCTATTACATGTTATTCATAATTCAAAATATGTCAAATCACTGCGGTTGGTTTATTATTATTATATTTTTCACATAGAACAGAAAAAGAGATAAGGAGGGATGCATTCTTGCTGGTCATTATAGAAGGGTCTGGCACACTTGTTTTGCCATATTTCCCTGTCTTTCTAGATCTAAAATCTGTTAGAAACCAGTGCAGCTGTTATGTCTGTCTCCAGCCTGTTTTCAAACATATCATGATTATCTAAATGCAAAGAACAAAAAATACACAATATACACTTTAGGTACCCTTATTAAGTCAAACCCTCAAATATTTCCACTTAAACTATGCAGCATGATTTCTTCAAAGATGATGCACACATATCACCCCTTCAACACTGAATGTAGTTGGAACGACCCGACTTTGGGAAACTTCCCAAACCTGTTCCACCTTTTCTCTTCCACATCGTAACCTAGCGTCATACTCCTGTCTATATGGAACAGTACGTTAGAGTGGACGCCGTATCTCGTACCACCCGCTATACACACACATGGCGTACATGAACTGATATGGGTCCACTGGCCTGTACGTATATTCAACATCATCATATCAGCCCCGTATCCAACAAAGAAATACATCCGCTCACGGTAACCTACGATTGAAACCGGAATCTCAAAACTTTCCGGAATTTCCAACCCAAAGTCTATCCACATGTCGCATTCAGAATCGTAGTACAACAGTTTGTGCTGGTTTTCTGTAGTTGCCCCCATCACAAAAACATACCCCATGCAGGTTGTAACAGAGTACATGGTGAAATCCAATGGCAAGTAGTCAACAAATTCCCAGTAGTCACCCGTAGGGTTGTACCTCTCAACCGAGTGGAGACATTGCGACTTAGAGTCCATCCCACCCATAGCATATACCCACCCATTCAAACCAACCATGTAGTGGTATTTTCTCTCTTGGTGTAGGAAGGCAATGTCTCGCCATGTGTTAGTCTTGAGATCGTAGACCTGTGCTTTAGACAGAGCAGGACCTACGGTGTAAGGTTGATACTGTTTCCCTCCTACCACATACACACAGCTGCCAAGACTGGCTGACTCAAAGGCCTCCTGGCTTCTGGGTCCTTCAGGAAGGGAGGTGATCATGGCCCATGTCTTGGTCTCCTCGGTGTACAGGTAGAAATCATAGGCTGCTGCAACCAGCTTTCTTTCAGGGAGGGTCTTCAGTAGTGCTGTATGGGAAAGAAGGAAAATAAAAGAACTAGAAGTAACCTTTGCATTTTAGCAAATGCATAATGTTTACCTTCGGACATGGTCTGCTCTGTTAATCCTTACTCAAACACATTCACATATTACATGTACTACTAGTATATGGTGACAGGAGCAAAGCAGACCATGACGTGAAATTGCAACATTATGTAACCCAACACCAGTCACCATGGTGACAGACGTCAGCAAATCATGTCATTGGTCAGGTCATAGGTCACTGTTTGGAGAAACTGAGCAAAAACAATATGTTTTCCTTCGGTAAACATAATTATGCTATACCTATTGTATAGTGAAAGCCAATACAAAATATATACCTCAAATGCATGTACATGATGGTAAGCAATACAGGAGAAAACTAACTTTTGGTGGCAAGCGCGTAGTAATATATTCTCATGATAATGCAACTAACATTTAAGTCTTTAAAAGCTTTACTTCTCTTGTGTTAATAGTAACTATTTTTCATAACTTGTGTTTGTGTAAATCTACAAGTACTTGCTAGTAGCACAATATCTTTGAGGATTCTTTCTAGTCAGAACAATTGTATCGGAAACTGTTTAAAGTTAAAACTTTTGGTCCGACACTAGAGCTTTGGACCAGTCACTCTGGTCCAACTTCAAAGAAGCCACGTGACAAGCCTCACTGGGTCAGTCTACTGAGGAAGACCAGAGTGACTGGTGGAAAGCTCTAGGTGAGAGAATTTTTTGTGTTGGACCACAAGTTTTAACTTTAAACATGTAACTACCAACACAATGAACTTTCATCATATTGGATACTGTTTGTTCAACCATTCTAAGAACTGTTTTTCAAAGTGTTTTAGCATGTAGCAATGTGTAAATACCTACCTACCTAAATCTTGTGAGGACAGGCCCAAACTCTCCACATCTTTAACCTTACAGTCTCTGACATATTCTAGTATCTTCATTCTTAGATCTTGCAGGTTGAAGTCTTCACACAGCCCTAGAATTTCTGCACAGTTCTCCAAGTTTGCTTCACAGTACAGAAACTCAGCACACATGTCTAACACTTCTGGCACTTGAAGAAAGTTGGCAGTCACCATAACATCTTGTACTGTCTCAAGGCACAGCTCAAGCTCTGTGGTGTAGATGAAGTGCAGGATTTTTGCAAAACTGTCTGAAGAAATTCCTTGTAGCGTGATCATGTCATCTCGACTGTCCTGTAGTCCACAAGTGAAGAAGGAATGGAAGTACGGGCAACAACACGCAAGCACGGCTCGGTGTGAGAAAAATGTCTTCCCCTCCACGCAAACTGCTACATCACAGAACCTTTGAAATGTCTGGAAGATGTAAAAGTTTGGGTACAAGACTTCTTGTAACATCTTAGACGAGGGAACTTCTTCTGCGTCAAACTTGGCATTGAGCTTCTTGCAAATTTTCTCAATATTTGCAGTACTGTTGCATTCAGTTCCATAGACATAGCTCAGAAAGGCAACTAGTTCCAGTTTCGTCACACGTTCTGTAACATCAAGTGTTGTCACCTTCGCAGCTCCGCGCTTGGTTTTGGCTGACAGTTTGTTATAGAACACATTGCTGACAGATGCTAGTACAACAGTGTGTGCTTGTACTGTCTCAGTCCCAACTCTAATCTCCACATCAGTGAGACTATTCTCCAGATACAGGCTTGACAGGACAGGCTGCATGGTTTGGAGGAACTTGGTCTTTCTCCTTTTCTGTAGTGGCCCACAAAATGTCTCAGGGGTTTCTTTAGCAGCCATGGTGATGCCTGTAGGGATTCGGAGAAACAAGAGTAAGATTAATTTCAAGTAAACAGATTTTTCACAACAACTGATGATATACAACATGTACATGTGTAATATCCATTCTTTTTACATGTTGCACTACATAACTTAACATTTGCCATCACTAGCGATATTATATATAGTAACAGGCTCAGATACTGCTTTAGATTTGATTTTGTGTATCCCAAGCAGTGTCATCAAGATTCTGGTCAATCAGTTTAGCCTGTATTTCATGTTTGTAGGCCAAACGAAAACCAACAACCAGTATTTTGCAGACGACGCAATTTTGATGATTCCGCAAAATGTTATAAATAGATACAAACCATTTTGAAGCTCTTTTTTGGCGCCTAGAAGATGACACAGCAGACAAGACAAACCTACATGATCATTTGAAAATAAATCGAGACAAGGTTCGACGAATAACGGCAAAGTTCTACTTCGAGAACTGGAACGCACTTCTATCGAACAGGCCCCCCTCCCCACTGGCCCCTCCCCACTTTTGTCGTCTGCTCTCATACCGAATAAACATTACGGTATTTATCACGATACTTCGTGCAAATAGCAACAAAATACAAACAGAAGAACATAATATTAGTCTAAGTACCTGTATGATTATGCTTATCGCCGAAGATAGCTTTCAAAGGTTGATAAAGACCAGGTAGTCCTTACTAAAACATCGGTGATCAGCTGTTTTGCGATCGGAAACTGAATGTTTTCGTCCCACAATGCCGTGCGCGGGTCATCCCGCGGGGTGCATTGTGGGACACATGCACCTGTTAGCTGTCGGCCAACCAAGTTGGAAGAAAATGCGGAGAAAAATTGTTGTAACAGGGCCTTAAACGATTAAGCGACTTCTATAGCTGTTTTAATATGTTCTATTATTGCTACTGGTTTGATAACATGCGTTATGGATAGTCTAACCCGTCGCAAACGAATAATTCTGAGGGAAAATGTTT